GAGTCTGTTCCATAATGTCCATCCAGTAAGTCCACAGGAAAAAAAAACAACAGAAAAACACAGACACAGACAAACAGAGGGCCCCAAAGAACAGCCTTCCAACTCCATGGAAGCAACTAGACGATGGCCTTACACCAAACCAGCGGGAGCGACCCACCTCATCTCAAATATGTGAGGGGAATAAACGTCCCTCGTGAGGGGAATACGCATCCCTCCTGGGGAGCAGAACATCTTCCAACTCTCCCCGCCTGTGGTCCTTCAGCAGTGCGTCCACATAGACCGCTTCGGGCATTACAGAATTTCAGAAGTGAGCTCACACAGGACAGAACATATAACACACAGAACAGAATACACAACACACAGACACCTACCGCGGCCAGTCAGACTCTCCGGATCGGGGGTCCCTCAAGGGTCTTGGGGATCCTGGACGAGCCACCAAATGTTATGCCCAGATATCAAGATCCCCAAAAGCCCACCAGGAAGCCAGCTGAGTCTGATGCAAAAGCAAAGAGTCTTTATTCGAGCTAGCTCGGCTCCCCTACCACACTCACTGATGCAACAGCAAGCCAAGTGGCAGAGAGAGAGAACTCTGTGTGGAGAGAGGTTTTATAGGGGGGTTGGAGTAAGGGGAGGAGAAAGGACTGTGGGCCTTGCCGATTGGCCAGGCGCAAGTCGGTGTCTTGTTACATAGGATGTGGTCATATCTATGGCGCACACTTCACTTGATTGCCATTGGTTAGTTTAAAGAAATCCTGGGTGTGGCTAGCAGAGGCTTAGGCTTCCAGGAAGAATCTCCTTGCTGAGCACATGGCTGCCCCAAAATGGAGGATCCAGGGTAAGATGGAGGGCGTAGCGTAGCCCTTACCCTGGGGCAAGATGGAGGGCATAGCTCTCGCCCTTTCAGCCCCTAACTGCCCTCCCCTGCTAGCCTGATCAAGCCCCCAACTGCCTCTGCCTGCTTGATCGCCCCTAACTGCCCTCCCAATGCTGGCTTGATCTTGCTCCCAACTGCCCTCCCCTGCTGGCCAATTTGGTTCTGATTGGTCAGTTTCTATGCCAATCAGCATGAAAAACTCCACCTCCTAGGCAGCCATTGGCCCCTCACAGTTGATCCAGATTTGGTTCTGATTAGTCAGTTTCTATGCCAGTCAGCATCAAAAGCTCCACCTCCTAGGCAGCCATTAGCTCCTTACATTCACCCAGATTTGGTTCTGATTGGTCAGTTTCTATGCCAGTCAGTCTCTCTGGGCCTATCAATGGGGCCTAATCAGATAGGCGGGGCTGATCAGCAGCCCCAGTGGAGGCCTGGAGAGAAATGGAGGGAGGCACAGCTCTTGGCCAGGCTGGGAGAGAAAGAGAGGCAAGTTCTGATCAATGGTTGCCATAGAGGCTATGGATCAGACCCTGCCTCTCTCTCTGCAGGCCTCTCTCCGGGCCTGATCCACAGCCCCCTGGCAGTCAGTGCTGTGTCAGAGTACCCACAGCACCCCAGTCAATGCTGGGTTGCCATGGTGACCCGGCGTTGACTTCTGATCTGGTGGAGCCTTTGGTGGTAATGACCCTGGATCTTTATTTTATAGATACTGCTTGGCCATAAAAAAAGAGAAAATCTTACCTTTTGAGACAGCATGGATGGATGGACCTGGAGAGTATTATGCTAAGTGAAATAAGCCAATCAGGGAAAGACAAATACCATATGATTTCACTTACATGTATAATCTAGTGAACAAAATATAAACAGACTCATAGAAATGAAACAGACTGACAGCTGTCAGATGGGAGGGGTGTTGTGTGGGACTGGATGAAAAAGGTGAAGGGATTCACCAAAAAGAAAAAAAAAATGCATCAACACAGAGAACAGTACAGTGATTACAAGAGGAAAAGGGGTGGGGGAGGTAGGAGAGAGTGGAAGGGAAGGAAACTTGACTTTGGATACATGCACAGATGATGTGTTATAGAAATGTACATATGAAATCCAATAAATTCAATATAATTTTTAAAAAGTGTGTAATAGTGAATAAGTGAATTAACTGGAGAACATTTCCATTGAAGACACTTGTGGAGGGATGACTGAGATGATACCATTCAGAGTGTCCCACAGACAACGTAAGCCTTTCCAATGCTGGGACACAGCCCTGACAGTGTGAAGTGCGGATCAACACTCAGGATGGATCTGTAGGACACAGGGGCTGTTTGCCATCAAATAAATAAATGAGTTTGATGTTTGTGATTGGAAAATGTAATTTGACCACTTGTAGGTTTACAGAATTATAATGGTCCTTGGAGTGTTTTGAAGGAACATTTCATATACCTTGTGATCCATATTCTTCCATCCTGTCTTTCTCACAAGTCTCAGATTTTCTGTAAAGATTTTTATTATTATGAACAGATTGTATTTTCATACTCTCTTCTAGTTTTTCTTTTTCCTGCTTCTCTTTTTCTTCTCCTAATCCCCTTGAACTCAAATCTGATCCTTGTCTAAGTGTTCTAACAGAACCCTCACTGCTCCTGATGTCTCTTTCCTGTAGTAAATAATTATTCCTGAAGAGAGGAATCTGTGATTGTGGAGAGGCCTCTGGGAGAGCAGTCAGCTCTTGGCTTTGCTGAAGTGCTTGTAACACTATTCAAAAGTCAAAACCTCTGGGCCTCACTTTTCTCTTCCCTAATATAAATAAATTATACTATATAATTCCTAAGATGCTTGAATGTCTAACATTATACAATTCTAAAAATTTGAGAGAGTTATTCAGGATGGAGGATTGCTCACATGTAGGAAAAATGCTCTTCATATAGGCAAAACCCATAACGAAAATGACTATTGTTTAAGTAACAAGACTTTCAAAATGCATAATTTTTGTGACTCTTAATACCTACTTATCCCTGGTTCTAAGATTACAGTACACTTTTTATACAGGGCATAGATTTAAATTAGGTACGATGGTGATCTGCTGACCATTTGAATGTGAAAGGAGATCAAATGAACAATCTGAGTTGCTAATGATTGTAGGTTTACTAACTGTAGAATATGCTTCTGGAATTACAGGGCCTTTATAAGAGAATATAGAGTTACAAGAGGCCTGGTGCATGAATTCGCGCACTGATGGGGTTCATCGGCCTGGCCTGCACCCTCTTACAATCCGGGATCCCTTGGGGCAGTGGTTCTCAACCTTCCTAATGCCGTGACCCTTTAATACAGTTCTTCATGTTGTGGTGACCCCCAACCATGAAATTATTTTCGTTGCTACTTCATAACTGTAATTTTGCTACTGTTATGAATCATAATGTAAATATCTGATATGCAGGATATATTTTCATTGTTACAAATTGAACATAATTAGAGCATAGTGATTAATCACAAAAACAATATGTAATTATATATTCAATATGTGTTTTCTGTTGGTCTAGGTGACCCCTGTGGAAGGGTCGTTCAACCCCAAAGGGTTGTGACCCACAGGTTGAGAACTGCTGCCTTGGGGGATGTCGGAGAGCTGGTTTCGGCCCAATATTCATGGGCCAGGTCGAGGGACCCCACTGGTGCATGGGCACCTGGCCTCTAGTATGCATAAGAGATCTTTGGTAAATCTCTTCCTGCCCTCTCCCGCTCCTCCCTTCCCTCTGAGATTCATCAGTCTGTTCCATGTTTCCATGTCTGCGTTTTCTGCTCCTGCATTGAGCATCTGCCCCCTAGTGATCAGTGCGCGACATAGCTACTACCTGGTTGTCCAGTTGTAATGGTCATTTAGGCTTTTAGGTATATAGGCTAGAGGCCCGGTGTATGAAATTCATGCATGGGGAGTGGGTCCCCTCAACCCAGCCTTCACCTTCTCTAATTCCGGGACATCCATCTCACAATCTGGGACTGCTGGCTCCTAATTGCTCACCTGCCTGCCTTCCTGATCGCCCCTAACTGGCCCCTCTGCCAGCCTGGTTGCCCCCAACTGCCCCCCCTGCCAACCTGGTCACACCCAACAGCTCCCTCTGCCGGCCTGGTCACCCCTCACTGCCTCTCCTGCTGGCCTGGTCTCCCCCAACTGCCCCCCCTGCTGGCCTGGTCACCCCTCACAGCCCCCCCTGCCAGCCTGGTCTCCCCCAACTGCCCCCCCTGCTGGCCTGGTCGCCCCTCACTGCCTCCCATGCCGGCCTGGTTGCCCCACGCAGCCTGCTGCTCAGTCATTTGGTCATCCCTCACTAACCCTCCTGCTGGCCTGGTCGCCCCACGCAGCCTGCTGTTCACCTGCTCCCAGAAATCAGGATTTTTAAAAGATTCCCAGGTTGATTCTAATGTGCAGCCAAGGTTGAGAACCACTGTGGTAGATCAACAAGATCCTGAAACTGGGCCTCCATCCTATACCCACTTAGTCAGCCTTAGGACTATTAAAAACAGTGTGTGGATCTCTGTATTCTGAGAATTTTCACACACACACAAAAGCAGTAAAAACAAAATGACCTTCTATCTCATTATATTCGTCAATTATTAAAAGTTTGCTACTCTTGTTTCATCTAATTCTTTTTTTTCTTGGAGTATTTAAACTAGATCCCAGCCATACGTTTTACCCATACTTCAGTGAAATCCTTAAATTTTTAATGTTAAATAAAAATTTGAGACAAAAATTTAAGTTTATTTTTGTTTTGCGTCTGTAAAATTAACACCCTAATTAGCTTTGTTCCATGTTGATACATTTATTTTTCCTAGGTTCATTTTTGTCTTTCTTTGATTGACACCAGAACTCCATTTTGCTTGTCATAGCCAGCAGTTATTATATTGGTTCTGTATAAACTCAGAATAACAGCTATAGGACATGTATGTGTGTTTATAAGCTATGTAAAAACTTTGCTTTCGTTGACTATTTCTATTTCTTGGTATTCAGATCGTTAATGTAAGGTTTTTACTTTGGGCATACATCATCACTTTCTAAGACAAGCCCCTATGGGTTTGCACATAGGAAGGCAGTTGATATTTGGGGTATAGTTTTGTAAACAGGACCTGGGTCATTGGGGTAGACCTGGCAAGATGAGTTGGATTTTATCAGTCCCATGTGTGTTTCTGCTCTGAAATGATGACTAGTTTTATGCATGTTACTAAAAGAAAAGGGGACCTTTTGACAGTTTCCTATGCTCAAACCCAACATGTGTGATTGACTCAGCGACTGGTATCTTTTTAGCGGAGCTGCCCCCTCCATACACCGCCTTCACCAGCCTGGACGCCAGGGGCATCCCAGTGATAAACTGTCACATGTGCCAGTTGCTGATCAGCCTGGACGGCAAGCTCCACCAGCACATGGTGAAGTGCATGGTCTGCAATGAGGCTACAGTAAATGGAGTTTCCGCCAGTAAAAGCATCGATTGTTACCTGACATCTTTTCCCTCGAGGAAGTACTTCCACAGTATGACTTAAGCGTAGGTGCAGGCTGGACACAGAGATGGCGCATCTCCACACCCTTGCTGTCTTCTCTCAGCTGTCTATTCCTCTGGAGCATACAAGGATCCTCCCGGTGTTTGCAGCTCACTTCATTGGGAAAATGTCAGGGCGAGTTTAAATACAATGCCATTTGGCTCTTTACTTTCTAAAACGAGACTGACCATAGACAGTTATTTGTAATTATCTTCAATGTCTATCACATCACAGGGAAATCCATTTTCATTTTCACTAAAATGTGGGCTTTGTACTTATGTGGAAAATTACTTAAACATATTTTATGTTTGTAGGATGTCAGCATGACTTTTCTTATTAGGAATTTGTTATTGACATTTGTGCCAAATCTACACTAATAAAAGACAAAGATGCTAATTGACTGTACCTTCGCTACACCCACCAGCCAATCAGAAAGTATGCAAATTAACCCAACAAAGATGGCTGTTAAATTTGCATACTGCAGATGGGGCGGGCAGCGCCAGACGCCGCCCATGGGATCTGGGCCACAGATATGGGAACCGGGGAGGTGGGGCGGGCAGTGCCAGATGCCACCTGGGGAGGTGGAGCCGGTGATCGCCCCAGCCAGAGGCCTGAAGCCTGGGCAGGGACTGTTGTGGTGACAACACAAGTCTTTCCTTTGCTCACCAAGCCTGGCCTCTTAGTCTAAAAAGAACAAAAACCCTTCCTAATTGTTTAGCCTAAAGTGGCTCCTTTCATGGTCTGCAGCTCTGAGAGAGGAGCCCTAAGCTGAGGGTTCTCACAGTCACAAGTGATGTTCTTCTGAACACAGAACAGATTCCTTTCTAGAAATAAACTCTCTCGTAGTACAATGTTTTACGTTCCACAGGACATGTTTGCTAATAGTCCCAATGCCTTTAGTTCCTCTATAAGATGAAGCAAAGCATGAATAAATCTATGTTCAGTAACCCCCTCCTCACCAAACTCTCACTATATCACAGCACACAATACACTAACACACACACCGGTTCCCACACCAGCCACCTCCCCTGCTGGCCCTCTGTAGGCAGACACTCTTCCTGCCTCATCTTTCCTCAGGTTTGTGGAGACGCCCCCGGGCCTATGGAGATGCCTCTACGTGTCTGCTGAGGCTCAGCAACATGGAGCCACCTGAGTCAGGAGAAGTGTCTCGGGCTCGCTTCCTGGCCGGGCCGAGCTGTGGGGCTGTCACTGGACACCAGCACCACAGGCTCCACGGGGGTCAGAGAGGAGACGCGGGCCCCCCTGCGAAGAACATGACCCCAGGAGCCTGAATCCGTGTGAGCCTCTGCAGGCGTGTGAGGACCTACACACGGTTCCCCTTCATCTTCACTGATGCTGGGGCGGCGGCAGCAGGAGGCGGCCGCAATGTGACAGAGAAACAGGGACTTGTCACCGCCGGGCGCACCCGCCGGCTCAGGAGCATGTTGTGCGTCCCTGACGATGCTCCAGCCGCTGAGCCATGTGCCAGCCTCTGCCACGCTCTACAGCCGAGACACATCTCCGGCTCCTGAGAGAACATCCATGAAAGCCGGGGACAGGGAAACGCTCCGCACAGCAGCAGCCACAGGAGAGCCTCAGAGGGCGGCCGTGGCTCCTGAGAAATAAAAGTCGCAGCGAAAGAGGTGAGGTGCCCCGAGCTGCCTCAGTGTGGCCCAGCCACTCATCCCAGCCCCTGCACCACCCCTACCTCACACCCCACACCTTTCACCTCAGACCTCACACCTCTCATTTCTCACCTCACGCCTCACACCTCTCATCCCACGCCTCATGCCTCTCACCAAACTCATGCCCCACGCCCGACAAATCACCCCACACCCCACACCTCACCTCCTCACACCTCATCTCTAGCCTCACCTCACCTCATGCCTCTTGAATCACCTCACACCTCATGCCACGTCCCATCCCTCCCGTCGCACCTCACCTCACACCTCTCGCCTCAGCTCACGCCTGACACCGCACGCCTCATGCTGCCTGGCATGCCTCACGCCTGATGCCTCAAATCACAAATCATGCCTCACCCATGCCTGATGCCCCATACCTCTTGCCTCTCACCTCACCTCACTCCTCACCTAACCTCATACTTCTCGCCTCACCCCATGCCTCTCACCTCACCTCACAACTCTTGCCTCACCTCTCACCTCACTTCTTGCCTCACACCTCACCTCATGCCTCAGCCTCTCACCTCACCTCATTTCTCACGTCTCGCCTTATGTCAGGCCCCACACCCGATGCATCATGCCTCACCTCATGCCTCTTGAATCACCTCACACCTCCCGCCTCACCTCATGCCCATGCCTCTGACTTCATCTCACACCTCTCCTCATTCTTCAAGCCCCATGCCTCACCTCACACCTCCCGCCTCACCTCTCACCTCATCTCATTCCACACGCGTCTCGTCTCACCTCATCGCATGTCCTACACCTCTCACCTCTGGCCTCAATTCCCGCTCTGCAGGCACACTGTGACGGATCATGACGGGTCTTTGGCTTCAGGTGCACAGCAAGGCCACGCTCCTGAATCCCAGCCCGCACTCCAGCCTGGCCCTGCCCTTCCACTCAGGAGAAAGCCTTGAAGCCTTTTAAATTTTTTTTGGTTAATCCTCACCCAAGGATATTTTTTCCATGGCTATTTTTAAAAATCTTTATTGTTCAGATTATTACAGATGTTCCTCTCCCCCCACCCCCCATAGCTCCCCTCCACCCAGTTCCCACCCCACTCCAGGCCTTCCTCTCCCCCAGCTGACCTTGTCCATAGGTGTCCATAGCTCTTTGTCCAGTCTCTTCCCGCACCCCCTTCAACCCCTTCCCCCCAAGAATTGTCAGTCTGCTCCCTTTCTATGCCCCTGATTCTATTACATTCACCAGTCTGTTCTGTTCATAAGGTTTTTATTAATTTGATTTTTAGGTTCATTTGTTTTGACTTTGTTGTTCATAATTTATCTCCTCCTCCTCCTCCTCCTCCTCTTCCTCCTCCTCCCTTCAGCATTTCATATAATACTGGTTTGGTGTTGATGAACTCCTTTAGCTTTTCCTTATCTGTAAAGCTCTTTATCTGACCTTCAGTTCTGAATGATAGCTTTGCTGGATAAAGTAATCTTGGTTGTAGGTTCTTGGTATTCATCACTTTGAACATTTCTTGCCACTCTCTTCTGGCCTGCATAGTTTCTGTTGAGAAATCAGCTGACGATGGTGCTCCCTTGTAGGTAACTGACTGTTTTTCTCTTGCTGCTTTTAAGATTCTCTCTTTGTCTTTTGCTCTTGGCATTTTAATTATGATGTGTGTTGGTGTGGTCCTCTTTGGATTCCTTTTGTTTGGGGTTCTCTGCACTTCCTGGACTTGTAAGTCTATTTCTTTCACCAGGTAGGGGAAGTTTTCTGTCATTATTTCTTCAAATAGGTTTTCAATATCTTGCTCTCTCTCTTCTCTGGCACCCCTATAATTCTGATGTTGGTAAGCTTGAAGCTGTCCCAGAGGCTCCTTACACTATCTTCATATTTTTGTATTCTTTTTTTCTTTTCTGGTTGGGTGTTTTTGCTTCTTCATATTTCAAATCTTTGACTTGATTCTTGGGATCCTCTAGTCTGCTGTTGGATCTCTGTATATTATTCTCTATTTCAGTCATTGTATGCTTAATTTCTGATGCCTCCCCAGTCACCTCAGGTGGATGCTCTTGGTGCACCCCTTTGTAGGCTGTTTGCACAGTCTTGTTGTAGTTAACCCTTGATTGCTGTAGGTATCACTGGGAGGAATTGACCTCCAGGCCAATTGGCTGTGATGTCCAGCTGTGTCTACACTGGAAGATCTGTTGTGCTGGAGACATCCTTATGGGGCAGGACTTGCTTCAGTGGGGCTTTGGTGCTCACTGAGTCTGCCCCCTGGGTGTGTCTCTTATGGATGTGAAGAGTTGTATTCTGGATGGTCTCACTCTGACCACTGGGTACACTGGCTCTTGGATCTCCAAGGAGGTGCAAAGTCAGCCACTGTCTGGGGCTGCCCAGCAGGAGCTACAGAGACATCTACAGATTCCTCCTCTTTGTATGAGGTTTGGAAGTGCCCAGAGGAGGCCCAGCTGTGAAGCAAGGCAGGCTGCTGCTGCCAGGCCTTGGGCCTTCTTTTGGAAGCTCTGGGGCTCTCTGACCCAGCTGTGCAGTTTGACAGGTTTTAGGCAGAGAAAGGACAGGCTATTCATATGCAAAAGCCGATGCGCACAGCTTGGGTGTGATTGTAAATTGGGTGGGGCAGGGTCTCTGGGAATCACCAGGGCGGAGCAAATAGCAATGGCTGCCAGTCAGCCCTGCACCGGAGGGGTCCCCGAGTCTCCGCATCCCGGCCACTGTGCAGGAACAATGATCGCTGCAAGCACCTCTGAGAGAAAGCTGCGCTTGTGTTCTTGTCCCGATGCCAGGCAGTCCAGTTTCTCCTTGTGTCTGGGTGCCCCAGAGTCTCGCCTGGAACTGGAATTCAGAGCAATCGGGAGCTTGTATCTCCCTCCTGATTAAAAGAGCAGCACATCCAGGTGCCAGCACTTGCCGCACCTCTTACCAGTCCCAATGCACCTTCTTCACCTCTCTAGTTGTGGAACTTCCACTCAGCCAGCTTTCCCAAGGTTCTGGGTGGTAGCTGTTCTGCCTTTGTAATTTTGATGTGGTTGTGGGAGGCAGCAAGTATAGATGTTTACCTATGCCACCACCTTGGTTCTCCCCACGGCTATTTTTTTAGAGAGTAGAAGGGGGAGATACAGAGAAACACAACCGGCCCAACCAAAGCAGGAATGGTGCCCTTGGCAGGAATGGAACCAGCGACCCTTCAGTCCCAGGGCCAATGCTCTAACCACTGAGAAGCAGCTAGACTTTTATCTGTGACCTGCTGCTTGCCTCATATCCCAACACCATTTATTATAGAATGCACATTTTTTCTATTCACCTGAGGAGACATGTTTATCATATGAAACTTACTTTGTATTTGGGTTTATTAGTACACCTTCTCTTCTGTTCCGTTAATGTGTCTATTTGGCCTGGTGGTGTAGCTCAGTGGAGTGTCGACCTAGGAACCAGGAGGTCACGGTTTGATTCCCGGTCAGGGTACATGCTGTGGGCTTGATCCCCAGTGTGGGGCGTGCAGGAGGCAGCCAATCAATGAATCTTCTCATTGATGTTCCTATATCTCTATTCCTCTCCCTAAAAATCAGTAAAAACTTATTTTTTAAAAGGTGTGTTTGGGAGTCGTGCACTCCTGAACCTGTCTGGAGGAGGTGATCACGAAAAGGGGTCCAACTGGAACCAGGAGGACGCTCCCCAGGAAACTGATCCTGAGGAAGCGCTGACTTGGAAACAGTGGGAGAAAGTGCTCACAGACTCCAGCCGCCGCTGTGCACCCCGCCCCAGGCATCCCCTCTGGTTCTCAAGCACTCGCTGGCACTGTACCCTGATCTCAGGCCCCCTCTCTACCCCCCACACTGCCTGCACCAGGAGGGAGACATCGCATCCAGGTCTCTCCTCACCAGTTTCCACAGGTGCCAGCTGCCCATTAGAGTTGGGCTGGAGTCGGGACACGTAATTCATCTCAAGGTCTCTACTGGCCCCTCATGTTCCCTGGCCCCTTTCCTCATGTCCTCTTTCCCACCCATCACATCCTGGTGAAGGCAGGGTGGAAAATTCAGCTCCAGCTGTTTCTCCTTTTGCCAGGCAACCACTGTAACCACAAGGGCTGGCGAGAGCCGTGATACAGAATTCTGCTCAACGTCTTTCCTGGCCACACACCCCAACAACCACTGTGCTCTTCACAGCAGGTTGAAGCAGGGAGGGAGGATTTGCCCACAAGTCCCTCCTTGTTCACTGACTCATGACCCCTCAAAAGGTGTGCGGAAAGGGGTTAAGTAATTTGCCTCCAGTTCTCTCCTCACCTCTTAGCCAAACACCTGCTCTGCCCCTCACACACTGGTCTCAAGGCAGAATGGAAATGTGGCCTCAGGTCTACCACATCCTTCCCCAGACACCCCTCATCTCCTTCATAGCTGGTTGGAGCCAGGATAGAAAATCTGCCTCCAGCTCTCTCCTCATCCCTTACTCCAGGACTCCCCTTGCAACTCACATTGCAGACGACAGATATATGGATGGATGCTAAGAATACAGATCCCTATATAAAGGGCTCCTGAGAGATAACTGAGCTCAAATTTATAATAATAATAATAATAATAATAATAATAATTATAATAGAAAAATAAAAAAGCAAACCAGAGTCTCATGTTCATTTCCACACAGGAGTTTCTAATATAAACCTCAATTCAGAGGGAGTGGCCTGCAAAGTCCCTCCCGCATTGAACTGACTGATAGACATGTGGACTGAGAAAAGGAGAGATGGCAGGACCAGACTAGAACACACAACTGGCGCAGAGTGGAGCTGAGCCGTGTGGCCTGAAGGGAACTCACTCGGGGCAGCCTGACCCCAGGGCCTCCCACAGCCACGACGCTTCACACTGAAGCAGCACAGCAGACCTGCTCCCACAGCAGGGCCACTTCACGCTGCTCCTGTAGCAACACTGAGCTGCTCCACAGCCTGCCGTCGCCCAGATGGTGAGCTCTCCCAGCTGCTAGTGTCCTCGTGGAGCTGACACCTCAGAGGCCACTGGCCAGTCTCACTAGTGAAGATGCGCTGATAGGAGTGAGAGCAGTTAAGGCCTCCTTTGCACGGAAACGCTTCTGAAATGTGGAGGACACATCAACAAGAATGCAAATAAAAAGTCACACACTTGGTTCCTTTAAGCATATTTAATATTTGAACTCTCATTTTCTATTTTCCCAGACCCCAGAAAAGAGAAAGTTTTTAGCTGACCAATATTTTGTTCCAGAAACATACAGCCTTATCAGCTAATTCATAAAAGAGCTATTTTACAAAGGTACATCTGGATAATTAGAACAATAAAGTCTTTTAGGTATTTCAAAATATGAGTAAAAATACATGATTATTAATAGAGTTTTCTGAAGACAGCTGCTGTTTTTATAGAGTGATTTCTAGGAAAGAGCCCAAGACTGTTGGTGAACGAGTGAAGAAAGGGTTCTGGCAGAAGAGGCGTGTTAGCCACAGCCCAGTGTGCACGTCCCCGGGGTCTCTGCGGCCCATCCCCCTAGGAGATCCATTTCCCAACCAACTTATTATCAAAACCATCAGGACCAGTGGGGAAGGCAGAAGGAATGAAGAAAAGGAACTCTTTTCTTGAACAACTTTGCAGGACATTTTGAAAAGGTAGAAAAATCAGAAAAAAAACACAAAACAAAAATTGTAATATTAGGAGGACAAAGGAGCAGAGATGCCGGGAGGGCCCTGCGCATGGTCTGTCCTGAGGTCCCTGCACTCGGTTCTCAATGGCGCCTTCAGCGTCTCAGGGAGGAAATGTTGGCCAGAGCCCTAGTTCCAGTGACACTCCCCAGGGCTGCAGAGGAAGCGCTTCCGGCTGGGAGTGCAGAAGCCCCACGCAGCACGCCCACCTCAGGACGCCAAAAAGGAAAAGGGTACCAATGAAAGAAAACTCAGAGAACATACTTTAGCTTCTGAAAATAAGAAAAAAGACTCTTCTCCTCCACGATCACATTAGTCCCCCTCTCCTCCAAAATAAAAAACGTTTCCCCTCTGTGCCTAAACTGTATTCATTATACTGCATGGGAAGTACATTTCATAAAACTTTTTCCTAAAAGTGCCTGGCTAGTGTGGCTCAGTGGTTGAGGGTTGACTCATGTACCAGGAGTCAAGGTTTGATTTCTATTTTATAAATAGAAATCACAGGCCAGGGTTGCGGGCTTGATCCCCAGTAGGGGGCGTGCAGGAGGCAGCTGATCAATGTTTCTCACTGATGTTTCTCTCTCTCTCCCCCTCTCCTTTCCTCTTTAAAAATCAGTAATTGTTTTTTAAAAGCCCAAAAAAGTTGTGAAATGTACCTCCTGTGCAGTATAATAAATAGTTACAGTAGATTCGAAAAGCCAAGACAGCTCAAGCAGCTGGGGAGCTGATATCAAGGAACGTACAAGCTGTCGCTTCTTGGGCAATGATCAGCACTTTAAATTAGAGGCCCGAGAGCCCAGTGATTTGTCTGGATTAACTGTCCTCTGTTCCTACTTCATGAGGCCTCAGGAGAGAGCACAGGCCCCAGGCCGCTCCCACAGCTAGCCAGCTCCCCTGGTCTGGGAAAGTGCTCTGTCCACTACGCCTGGATTCCTCGGTGTGGAAGTGGATTCCAGCTTCTGGTCTCCTGAGAAAATGACTTTGATGGTAACTGAACCATTTCCACTCAAGGGCAGGATGAATTCCATCATCCTGAAAGGCAGATCGAATATCAAAGTAAAACAGATGTGACGATAATGGTCAGTGTAAGTGGGAGTTGTGGGAGGCCAGGAGAGGGAGGAGGAGAAGTTCAGCTGGGAAGACAGAAAGAACACTCAAAACGGTGGGATCTCTTCAAAATTAGACTTCAGTTTGGGGCCGTGTTTGACAATCTAGACACACATGGATCTGGCAGTACTAGAGCTATGGTCACAGTGTTGTCCCAGTCAGCCCTGTTACTGTTCCAAGGAGAGGTTAAACTACCAGAAAAGAAAAGCAAACAGTTGCCAAGGACAAGGTATTGGCTGAGCTAGAGAAACCACGATGCTGCTAATCTGCTGACCTAGCCAGCGTCTCCCGTGAGCGCCGGGGACGCTGCAGGTCCCGCAGGCCTGCAGGTGGGACGGGAGCTCTCTCAGTGCCTTTCTCCGGATGCCCTGCCCACTGATGGTCTGAGGGCCACGGCCAGAGGGGAACCCCTAGCTGAGTGAGCGCATTATTCCCAGCAGCACCATGTGACCATCTAGTTGCTACCTGCTTCTTTAAAGAGATCAGAAGGTTCAAGTTCCACTTATATATTAGCTTCTGCTTCTAAAATTTAAATCCCACTCTAATTTAATTTATACTTGGTCTACGACCCAAAATATAATTATAATTTATAAACGAGGGTACAGCAATACAAGCTGTTCAGTTTACTAAAAACAGAGGTCAGTTTTGAAAAGACAGACACAGGAACCTGGACATCGATGAATGTGCTGTAAGCTGTCATGCTCTTTATGACAGTAGCTGGGAACCCTCCTGTGCATGATGAGTGTGTGTGTGTGTGTGTGTGTGTGTGTGAGTGTGTGAGTGTGTGTGTGAGTGTGTGCAATGGGTGTGTGTGTGTGAGTTTGTGTGTGTGATGAGTGTGTGTGAGTGTGTGTGTGTGAATGTGAGTGTGTGACTGTGTGTGCAATGAGTGTGTGTGTGAATGTGAGTGAGTGTGTGTGCAATGAGTGTGTGTGTGAGAGAGTTTGTGTGTGTGATGAGTATGTGTGAGTGTGTGTGTAACTAGACAGCAGGGAAGAAGATCACAGCCGGACCCTCCAGTGTCAGAGGGCACTGCTGAAGGACGGAGAGCAGTGGGTGAACTCCTTGCATATTAACACAATTTTAAGATTTGACAAATGATTTCCTTTTAGTTGGCAAAACATATATACCTGATGCACAAAGAAAATCACAGAAAACAATATAATTGAAGGTGCTCTTGAGCCACTACTCTGACCTCTGTCCTCTGTGGGGTGCTGCCAACACAGCTGGCCATCCTGGGGCAGGCGTTCCCCCACTCGCCGGCAGGTCCAGTGCGCTTGGCCTGCGTCTGTGAGGCAGGCAGGCAGGCACCAGCAGGGAGAAGCGCCAGCAGGGAGCTGGTCCGGGCAGCTCTGCCTCCTCCACCCTTTCTCCACTCACTCTTGGCTCTCCTTTTTACTTGAGCCCTTTGGCACCATCCGTGCAAACATCAGAGTCAAACCTCCAGGTACGAAAATGTTACTGACCACAGGAGCAGCAGTACCTGTGCCGATTGGCACCCACTTCAACTCAGGAGTGACTCAGTTGCAGACCTTCCCAAACTCCTTCGGCTGCTGCCACCCCGCCCTCCTCGGAACCCCACCCCTGCCATCTGAGGCACCTCCACTTGTTTTTGCTTTTACTTCCTGCTCATCTGCAGGAACAATTGTACACACGTGCTGTAGTCCAATGTATAATTATAAAGATGAAGCAATATTAAGAAAAACAAATTATAGTCAAGAAAATAAAATTTGCTTTCCTTTCCCGCCCAAATCCCAACCCTCAATGGAAAAGAAAACAGAAGAAAACACACCCATTCCCAGTGGCTGCTTGTAGCACAGGAGGCTCTGGTTCAGTGATCCCAGCGGGAGCACAGTGCTGGCCTCGGAAGGGAGGGGGCCTTGCGCTCTGCCCCCCTGGGGGGCACAGGAGCACAGGCCCGGCTCTGCCTTGAGGTCAGGTGGGAGCAGCCACTGGGCAGCAGCTGGATACAGTGGAAGGCTGGGTGCTCCTCCCCCGCTGCCCTCTCTCCACCCAGCCTCCTGCCACCCCTCCTGAGCACTCTGCTTCAGGAGCCACTGGTCTTTGGTGAACTAAATATAAAGGGACAAAAGTCTCACTACATAATTAAAACACAGCAAGATAGAAATTAAAATGTGCTTTCAAATGTGGAATGAAGTCAAATAAATACATCTGATTTTCTCATTTTCTTAGGTCTAAATAAAATTCCATACCCAACACCAGAGCTCTCTGCATTTGGTTTTTGTTCTGAATCAAAATGAGTTTCTGGTCGTGAGGCGCGCAGAGTGCGGAGCGGAGGTTCCCTCGCGGACAGCAGGGCAGCTGCCGACTGGGAAGGACAGTCCTGCTCTGGGCCTGGGACAGGCCAGTGCCGAAGCTTCCCAGGCAGACCCTCTGTCACTCTCTCCCTCCACACCGGGGCCAGGATGTGCCGATGCTCAAACTCCAACCACCTCCAGAACGTGCAGCTCTAGCTTTTATCTGGAAGAATAAGGACATCAGGGATCAAAGAAAGAAGAAAGGACACTGGACACCTGGGGACACTGTGAACTCCAAGGCCTGGCTCTGTCTGCTTCTGGGCCAGGGCGGCCTCACCCAAGAGCCAATGACCGTGAACTGCAGAGCTCAGCACCACCCGCAGCCACAGACAAAGGGCAGCGAGGCCGCGAGGACCAGGCCTGGGTCCGGAGCTACAGGCGGCCCCACAGGGTCAGCAGCCCCTCTGCTCTGCCTCCCGCTGTGCAAAGGGGAGAGGGGGTGATTTTTGATGTTTGGAAACATTTTTAAATATTTATTTATTTAATTTGTTTGTTTTTGCAAACAGTTTTTTAAAGACAAAGAAGAAAAGGAGGTTTCTATTTTAAAGAGTAAGAAATCATTTCATGTATTTGTTCAGGCAGAATTCCAGAGTCTGGAATCTACCACTTTCACGTACCTGAGTGTTTGTCTGTGAGGGCTGACCCAGCCAGCCTTTGGCAAAGAATGGTATAACTTTCCTCCACCTTCTGTAAAATAAAAGCATAGGTTTTTCATTTGAACGTCATAAAAAATTATTTTTGAAAATAAGAAAAATGTTTTTCAGTATTACAGGTATGCTTCCAAATTGCAACATAAACATAATTAAAATTTTGTTAGTGGAGGGAAAGAAGTAAATTTCATTCCTTTTGCCGTTTTCCGTCTTATATGAGTGACCTAACGTTTCCCCGTGAGAAGAAAGTAGAGAGAGCAGCTGGCACCGGGACCAGAGCCGCCTGCACACGCCTTTCAGATGTTCCCTTCAGCAGCCCCAGGGAAACTGCGTGTGAACCAGGGAACACTGTCCCCCAAAGCCTCCACTGCGCGGCCAGTGGGCGCAGGGGGCTGCAGACGGAATCAATAAAGCCCTTTCCTCAGAAACTCCCAGGCGGTCAGGCTTGACAAGGGGCCAGGACAGGGAGTGACAGCTTCGCTTACAAACCCCTGTGCGGCGTTTCACTCAGAGGAGCCGCTTCCTTTTCCACAGCACCTGGGACACCAGCCCCAGCACCGGGCTAACATGCCCGGCCTCTTACCAGGACACAAACCTTCATCCCGCTATTTGTTCCCGCCTCCACGAGGGGCCAGCCAGGCCCCTCGGACACATACGGGCCTCACACGTAGCAGCCTGTGCAAGCACAGCTCACCGGCTGCAGCTTTTCCTGTCGCTGTGCTGTGTAACCAGACAAACAATGCCGACCTCTGCTTCTTATCAGGCCTTTTCATGGATGATGGTCAAAGAAAACACACATTGAAAACAACGAGTTTGCTCCCTTCTATTCCATGTGCTTCCCATCACCGAGTCCTGAGGAGGCCGAGGCCGAGGTACCTTTAAGTGCTCAAGGGCGGCCTCGATCTGGCGGATGCACTCCAGGACCTGGCTCTGGGCGTCTGTGCACGCGGAGGGGCTCTGGATCTCCAAGCAGGCCCCCTCCAGGGCTCCCCAGCGCTGCGGGGCCACGGGCTCCGGGGTGAGTGGTGGCATGGCCCCGTCGGAAAGAGCCTTCTGGGAAGAGGGCCGCTGCTGCGGGGCAGGGTCCACGGCGGGGAGGCCCGTCCTGGGCTGGGGGGGGAGCCAGGCGGCGCCCTCCTCATCGGTGGAGCTCTCCGGCACGGCATCATAGCCATCGAGGATCAAATAGTTTCCTGTGGCAGAGACAGGGCAGGCGGTGAGACGAGGACTGCCATCAGCACACAGAACAGGGGCTGGGTGACCCGGTGATAGCTTTAAAAGCTATTCAAGACTGGGAAAGCCGTTAATTCCCGAATGCCCACGTTTAAAGTGCAACCTAATGTTCTCCCTTTGGGTTCCAGGGAAACTTAGCAAACTTTCATGGTACTTTCTGAGTAATCCATAGGAGTTAGCATTTGAAAAGTTAAAAGCTGAAAACTACAAAGTTCCTATGCGATCTTGCCACCACTTCCCTTGCTACGTGCCCCCCCCCCCCCCCCCCGCTTCACCTCCCCCCTTTGTTCTCCCTGCAGCTGCTCACTCCTCAGCCCCAGCCCAGCTCGCTGCACAGCGGCGCGCCTCTCGCTGAGATGCTGCCCGACATCCCAAGCTGCTTCCGGTCCGGCTCAGATGCAGCCTCAGCAGAGGCCTCTGCCCTGGTCCCTTGTCTGCCCCTCACTCTGTGACCCTTAGTCTGACTTATTTTCCGGTGACTTCTTCTATCTATTTATTTGCTTACTTATTTATCACTAGTGGCCCAGTGCACAGGTTTGTGTACATTGAAAGGAAATTAATTAGAAGAACTATTTTAAGATCGCTATTTGCCCTTTCTCTATAATAGAAGTGTCAGAGATGAAAGAAAATTAGTAAAATGTGTATGAAAATATATAAATTGATTAATAAACAATATCAATATGATATTAACAACAAAGACATGAAATAAAACAAAAAAAAACATGATATAAACACAAATTGACAAAAAAAGACTGATAAATTGATTAACCTTATTCTAATATCTTCCTGTACACCACATTAAGAGTGAAAACACGGGGGTAGGGGAGGCCAGGGGATTGTCAAGGGTAGGGGAAAAAAAAAAAAAGGACACATATGTAATACCCTTTGTAATACTTTAAGCAATAAAAAAAAAAATGACAAAAAAAGTGAAAACACTTTCAGAGTGCTTAATTTCCCTTGTGATGAAGTATTTACAACTTTAACTTTAATGTCACACACTGTTCGAACTCGAGAGAAAGCAACATATAACTGACCATGTCTGAAAACAGGTTCAGGTAGGAATATTCCTACTCTGTCTGGAGTTTGTCCTTGTGATTTATTAATAGTCCTCACAAATGCTGGCATCACAGGAAACCACCGTCGAATCAATTTAAATGGGAGGCCAGTGTCAGATGGGGACAAATTAATTCTTGGAATCAGAACAGCCTCCCTACCTGCAATCCTGTTAATACTTCAGCTTCGATAATGTTAGGTCATAATCTTTTGATAATAAATCTGGTACCATTACAAAGACCCCATTTACTATTAAGATTTCTCAGCTGCATGATGATTGCACCCACTTTCAATTTTAATTTATGACATGGCATTCCCAAAGGAGTAATACTATTAAGAAATTCAATGGGAAAATTTTCCTTTTTGGCATCATCCATTGAATGGAAGGAATCATCACTCAAATAGGCATGAAAATCGCCATCATGTATATCCAAATTTTCTTCATTTAGTGCAGCGGTTCTCAACCTGTGGGTCGCGACCCCTTTGGCAGTTGAACGACCCTTTCACAGGGGTCGCCTAAGACCATCATGCATATCAGATATTTACCTTACAATTCATAACAGTAGCAACACTACAGTTATGAAGTAGCAACAAAAATAATTTTATGGTTAGGCCACAACATGAGGAACTGTATTTAAAGGGCCAGAAGGTTGAGAACCAATGATTTAGTTTATGAACGTGCCCATTTTTAGGACAAAGAATCACACATTTAGATATATTTTAAATATTATCTATAGATATGCTATTTCCAAAGGTAGCTTCACTAATAAGTCCGTTACAAGTCATTTCATGGGGGATTTTAATAATATCTATTTCAAGAGCTTTACATGTATTGTGCATGCGAGAGTCAACATTTTTATTTATTTTTTATTTTTTAAAAAATATATTTTATTGATTTTTTTACAGAGAGGAATGGAGAGGGATAGAGAGTCAGAAACTTCGATGAGAGAGACACATCGACCAGCTGCCTCCTGCACACCCCCCACTGTGGATGTGCCTGCAACCGTGGTATATGCCCCTGACCGGAATCAAACCTGGGACCCCTCAGTCCCCAGGCCGACGCTCTATCCACTGAGCCAAACTGGCTACGCAGAATTTATTTTTAAACTGCCAGTGCACTTCATATGGACTGGCCAGTTCGTCGGGCAGACGGACAGTCGGTTGGTCACTTAGCCTTTTACTGTTTAATTTCTTTTTTTAAAATATATTTTTATTGATTTCAGAGAGAAAGGAGAGGGAGAGAGAGAAACATCAATGATGAGAGGGAATCATTGATTGGCTGCCTCCTGCACGCCCACCACTGGGGATTGAGCCCGCAACCCGGGCATGTGCCCTGACCAGAATCGAACCCAAGACCCTCCAGTCCACAGGCTGATGCTGTATCCACTGAGCCAAACAAGCAAGGGCAGCCTTTTATATACATATAGATTACTCTTCCCCCTAATAGCACCTAAGTTTCATGAGAAGAGTTGATTTTTATGTTTATTCAATGCTGTATCTCCTAGCACTAGAGTAGATTCAATAATTATTTAGTGCGATAAAGAATAAATAACACACACACACACAATGCTTGCAAACCCAAACACCATCTGTTTCAACACACAGGACAGTAATGGCAATCACCATCGAAGTGTACGTGTGAGAGAACTTGCCTGAGATGTGTACGTTAACGTCCTTCTCTTCCTGTTTAACTGCTCCCTCACCCTCCGATGGATTATCATCACTGTGTACTTCATGGGCATCAAAAAAGTGCTCCCCACTCTCATCAAGACCACCTTCCGGCTCTGCAGGAGGAGCCTCCAGGGGAACAGGTGTGCGGCCCATCACCACAACACTACCTGCCTTGCCCTCCTGGAATGCCGGGACCACGGGGCCCCCTGGAGGAGGAGAGTCCGCTGAGGCCCGTGGACTGCTGCACGTTGAAAGGCCACCTGCTCCAGCTCTCAAGGGCGTCTGTCTTTGCCCAGGATAGGCCTTCATAATTCCAAAGTTCTGGGTTTCACTGCCTGCCTGCATCCCCGGGAAGGCCATCCTGCATCTTGAAAGATGTGGCCGATCTTCCTGAGTGCTCTTCTCAGCCAGACTCCGATTCCGTGCCAGCAGCTGCTTCAACAAGCCCACTGCAAGATTGAGGGGGGGAAAGGCACATCAACTGTGACCTCAGACTGAAACCCAAACTAAAGGAGTACCATTAGCAAGTGTCTCTAAAAGGAAGCACCTTTTTAGTAACATGCAGTCAAAATATTAATTTCATAGAATTATTTTTATTTTCTGAAATAAAGCACCATCTACAGACAATATAATATTAAACTAGACTTGAAAAACCCAGGTGTTTGTAGCGGGAGGTGCTCCTACTGAGAACTGCTGAGTAACCAACTACGTCCTCCTCCATTTTTCTTCTCTTTACTAGTAACTGGGACAAGACCCAAAGTGCTGAGAAGCTTTGTTAAGCTAGACAACAAAAACTCTGCACGTTCTGTTTTCCCAGAAGCAGACACTATACACATAGACATTATTTTTCTAATTTAATTAAACATAAAGAACATTTATTTTATCATTTACTAGAGAACTGGTGCACGGATTTGTGCACCAGTGGGGTCCTTCGGCCTGGCCTGCAGAAAACGGGCTGAAACCAGCTCTCTGATATCCTCCGAGGGGTCCCGCATTACGAGAGGGTGCAGGCCAGGCTGAGGGATCCCACTGGTGCACAACGGAGCCCGGGGAGGGACTACAGGAGGTTGGCCAGCCGGGGAGGGACTGTGGGAGGGCTTCAGGGCGTGTCTGGCCTATCGTGCCCAGTCCTGATCGGCCAGACCTTAGCAACAAGCTAACCTAATGGCTGGAGCATCTGCCCCCCCCGGGTGGTCAGTGTGCATCATAGCAACTGTTCAAACTGTCAACTGGTGGGACACTTAGAATATTAGGCTTTTATTATATAGGACTAGAGGCCCAGTGCACGAATTTGTGCATGGGTGGGGTCCAGCTGGCCCACCGAGATAGGGGCCAATTGGGCTGGGCTGGCCAGGGGAAGGGGCTGCAGGCAGTTGGCAGGCTGGCCCTGCCCCTTGGTCAAACTCCAGTTGAACTTCTGGTCAAGGGGACAATTTGCATATTACTATTTTATTATATAGGATAATAACCTAAAGACTTTCCTTAAGTGGTGAAGAAAATAAACTTCCCTGTAAAAATATTTAATTCTAATGATTTGGCAATGTGTATAATTTCAAAAGGGAATAGTAATTAGTTTTTTTAAAATGACCTTATTCATGGCATAGCTTCCTTAAGTTATTAAAAAAAAAAAAAAGAACCAATTTAACTTTGAATAGGCAAGTGTATGCTGTAAGGCCCCTCATACAATGACAGTTGGGACAAGGTTAGTCAAACCGTCAGAAATCTTTATTGTACTTATAAATGCCTAACCACTAGGCTGTACACCTGAAATTAATATAATATTGAATTTGAAATGTAATTGAAAAAAACAATTTTTAAAAGAGAAATCATGATCAATGTTCATTCCGGAGAATCTAGAATTAATCAGGTTTGAATAAGTGAGACCAACATCCCCTTTCAGCTCCGTCTTAATTTCTATCTTCTGTTCCCGCCTGGAGGCCTAAGGCTCTGACCTCGTCTTCCTGCTTTGCATTCACTTCCAAGAGACGCTCTGAATCCCTGTGGCTGTGATGCTCACATCCACCTCCCTCCCAGCCCTTCCCAAATCCCAGCCTGAAACTGCAACCTCCTGCTTCCCCTTAATGCTTTACCATTCATTGTCTTAAGCTCAGTATGTTTTACAATTAAGCCCACAATCTTCGGCAAATTAAAAAAGGGGGGCAAGTGTGACAGTGGGCAGTGGTGGTCCTTTTTGACTTATATATCTGATAAAAATACTAACATTATCTCTATTTCCTTTTCTTTGTCCTCACATCCAAACAAGTCAATTGCTTTAAATATTTGTTGACTCCTCAATTTATATTTATTCCTCTGACACCATTCTAGTTCTAACCCTTTAGGCTCAAGTCCATGCTACTACAATAGTCTAACAGTAAGTGTACCACTCTAAACCTCTTTCCATTAAAATCCTTTCACAGCTCTCAAATCTTTTTTCATTCGTCATAACCTTAAAGACTTCAAATAGATCTCTACAGTCAGAGCCATCATTCCCAGCCTTCCCCCCCCCCCACTAGCCCTGAGAGATGTGGCACTCCCACTTGCAGCTGATCATCAGCGGCTGGCGAGGAGGGGCAGCTAAGAGTGGCAAGGCCTGTCCACACCCCTGGGTAAGTGCATGGGGTGTGTGTGTGTTCACGTGTGTCTGTGTGTGAGGATGGGCCTCGGCAGAGAACACTACAATTGCCACAAGCATATTAGAAGAGTAATTTGTAGTTTGGAAAAGCCCTCTGAACACGGTGTTGTGCCATCGTAAAGTTCAGGAGACTCAGACTAGTGTTCAAGGCTCCAGCAGGTGGGCAGCACCACCATCTGCCCTTGGCACTCCGTCTCACACATGCCAGCCGTCTATCCCTGCCCTCTGAACACCCTCCGTTTCCCCTTGCTGTGCTTTTGGTGCCATCATATTCTTGCTGAATAACTTCTACTCTTCTATCAGAGACTTACCCACCCTTGAAGGCTCTCATTTCCTGATGCCTCCCTGCCCTGGTCCCCCTGATCAGGTCACTTTGGACGTCCCTATGTGTTTACTTAAAAAGATGGGCAATGTTTCTATTATCCTCCCAACTAGACTGTAAAATTCTACCAAGAAAAAGTCTGTTTATACTTCTTTAGATTCTCCCTAAACGACTGCATAGTACATGACACAGCTCTGGTACTTACTAAGAATCTGTGTGAACTTATGAATCAAACTCACAGTTCCTCAGTGCGTCCAATGCCCACCGCTCTTCTGAGACAGGCACGTATGGGTCTGGGGTTGTGATTTGGTCATTTACTCCTGCTTCCTTGACAGCTCGCTCTGCGTGCTGCGCCTGTGCAAACCGCCTCTCAGCCACAGAGAGTTCGTCTGCCTCTGCTTTCCCAGAAGTGCCCAGTGGATGAGACTGAGGTTTTGATGATAGTAAGGGAGACTCTAATCCCAAATCTCTGTCTGTTCAATGAAAGAGGAAAAGTAGAACATATCTTTAAACTTTTAACGTGAAGCATTCAGGAAATACGGGGGAATGGCCACATGAACTCCCGAGACTGTTAAGTCAGAGCAGTGCCGGAATGCCCGCAGAAGGCTCACGAGCAAAGTTTATTAAAGTGAAAAACTGACGCCCGAACCTGCCTAAAACAAAAAGAGTTCAAGTTTCTGTGCATTTTAAAAACATTTTTATTGATTTCAGAGAGGAAAGGAGAGGGTGAGAGAGAGAAACATCAATGATGAGAGAGAACCATTGATTGGCTGCCTCCTGCACACCCCCTACTGGGGATCAAGCCTGCAACCCGGCCATGTGCCCTGACTGGGAATCGAACTGTGACCACCTGGTTCATAGGTCGATGTTCACCCACTGAGCCAGGTGGCCAGCGGTTTCTGCGCATTTTAATAAGCAACACGTGGACCACATTCTTCCCAGGAAACTAGCAGGTAAGTTTACCTGGACTCTGCAGGCCAGCAACTGAAACGCCATGAGGCTCCGCCTTCAATTTGGGAGGCTCACTGTCGTCATTGTCTCCTCTGTAGGAGAAAGAAGACCATCATTAAACATCACAGGTGCCTACACACACTACAACAAAATGCAAACATCACCCACTCCTGTTCTGACCAAAAGAAAACAAACAAAGACATTCCTCAGAGAGGCCCAGGCACACTCACTCGCAAGGTGGTGACTGTGGTAATGGGATTGGCTTTGTGGACGGCTCCTTCCCCGATGCAGCCATCTGACAGATTAGGTCCTGCCAGCTGTGGAATTTTTACAAGAATCCCACATACAAAAGGGGAAGGAAAAAGAAAGGCCTTTAAATACACTGAGAACGCAAAAATAAAAACTAAAACAAATATACCAGAAACCAAAACCAACCAACCAAACAAGAAACTGTACTTCTGACAGAGATCATATTTATGTTGACATGATCATAAATCTCTATTAAGCAGCGATTATAACTGTACCTTAAAGAAAATCCTAACAATATCATGAACACACTGCCCATTAAAACACTTCCCATGACCCTTCTGCATTTTTTTCTTTAGAAAACATACTTTCAGTAGAACAGAATCAAAATAAGGGACATCAGTCTAAAAAGCAACACGCTCTTAGAAAAACTATCTAAAAGAATACAGAGGAATTGCTTATTTTTTGGTTTTCAAGGTCCTATTGCAGAAACAATGTTACGTTTGTGACAGATTATAGTGAGGACATTGAAAGCACTGGTGCACCAAGGGGTGGGAGCGTAAAGGGTAAGGGGCCCAGTCCATGATGAGGGAACGAGATGGACTTTGCACAGTAAACACACAATGCGATATACAGACGATGCATCACAGAATTACACACTTGAAACCTATATAATTTCATTAACTCATGTCACCCCAATAGATTTAATTTAAAAAGTTAGAGAAACAGCGATGTTTAATACATACACAGTCTTTTCCGAAACTGTCTGTGCCACCAGCTCATAGATTTGGGCTCCATTGTCTGACATGGAGATGACAAAAAAAGCTTTGTTATCTAGAAAAAAAAAGATAAAAATGCCTCACAGTGTGACCCACAGAGGCCATTTCTAGGCTCTGGTACTATTTTGCATCTTAGTCAGGTAAAGGTTACATGTGTTCACTCTGTAAACATGTGTTTACTTCAGGAAAATTCATCAAGCTACACACTTAAAACTTTGTACGACAGACTGTGTTCTACTGTGTTTATAATACTGCTACAAAGCAAAGATGATAAACACTAGCACAGACTCCACAGTAATTCACTAGAAATAATTAGTCAAAGTGCCTAAATTTACCCTGCTATCATGGAGCTAACGAGTTTTAAAAGGGATCTCATTGTCAATATCATCTTATCTAATAAAGAGGGAACGTGCAAATTGACCGTCAAAACATAACGTCCAAGATGGCTGCGCCCACAGCAGAGGCTGAGTTCCTGCAATTATCCTTAACGAGCTATCAGCAGGGACCTGAGGCTGCATGGTGCTGTGTCAGGGCAGGAGACCTTAAGCTGCGGCCCTTGCCTGGTGGGGCTTGACAAGGGACTTCAGGCTGCACCCCCTCTGCCTGGCAGGGCTTAATGGGGGACCTCAGGCCATGCCCCCTGCCCACGGGGCTTGACGGGAAACCTCAAGACGTGCCCCCTGCACCAGCACCAGGCCAGGGGACCTGTGGCTGTGCCCCCAGCCCAGTGGGGTTTGATGGGGACCTCAAGGCATGTCTCCTGCCCCACCTTGGGCTGGGGAACCTGAGGCTGTGCCCCTGCTTGGCGGGGCTTGATGGGGGAACCTCAGGCCGTGCTCCCTGGCCCGGGCCAGGGGATCTCAAGACACACCCCCTGGCCCAGGCTGGGGGACCTCAGGCTGCACCCCACACCCCAGCGCCGGGCCAGGCGATCTGAGACTGCGCCCCACACCCGGCAGGGCTTGACGGGGATGGGGCCAGCTGGGCCTGGATCTAGCCCAATCGGGGTGTGGCTGGCCGGGTCTGGGTCTTGCGTGATTTCGAGGTGCACGTGGGTGGGTGGGGATTTGACTCTGGTTCCCATGGTGTGCCCCAGACTGTGACAGGAGGAAGATTTTCATATACATTTTACTAATTTTCTTTCATCTCTGACACTTCTATTATAGAGAAAAGGCAAATAGCAATATTAAAATATTTCCTCTAATTTCCTTTTAATGTGCACGAATTTTGTGCACTGGGTCACTAGCTAATATATAATTTGCTAACTTAAACTGATTTCAAAAATCTAAACTACACCCATCTCTTGAGGTTTTGCCCCTTTCCCTACCAAATCAAAAAACATACCACTCAAATGAAAGCCTTTTGTCTATCAATGATTTGAACATGGAATAAAAGACCAAAGTAATATGCAGAAAATTTTCAAATGCAGAAAATTGCTCAGAGAGTCTGGGTGTCCTAATTTGGGAGTATAAACTCTTAATCCACTTTCCAAGCAGTAAATAAATATCATTTAATTTGTATAAGAATATGAAAAGAACAAAACTTTATGCCAGCTGTTCTATGTAAATAACACTAAATATCTTCCACAACTTTACCATGAACCTGAAGGTTAGCAACACTCAGCAGACATCCTCACCTGTGGCCACCTGTCGAACCAGCACTGTATTCAGCTTAATGACAGGGCTGAATGTGTGCTTGCTATCAGCTGTAGATGCCAGAATCTTACTGTGACACCGTAACACCAGCCTATCATCCTGCTTTTGTAGCAACACAAGGATGTCTTCCAGCAGCAATGTGTACAGATCTAGAGATAAAAACACAGGGATGGGTGATTAGTACAGAAACTGAGACATGTTTTATAAATTTTATAAAAATTCAACAGAGAAATTTTCTGGGGGGAAAAATGGCCTCCATTACCCTGAAGTATCAGCCTGACAAAAAATCAAAAAGCAACAGTTCCTCAACACAGACAGTTGTAGCCTCATGATCCAAAAGCCCAGACTCACGCAGATGCATGGATGATGGAGACAGGACTGAATCATGACAGTTTCCTGTTTCACCCCCACACGAACAAGTAACACACTTCACAGATAATAAAACCACAGAAGCATATCTCCTGTAAGTGCATGAATAACACAAAGTAGCAATGCTAACTGCTGTAACTGAAAATTGTAAATGGTTCTCTCTTCTAAGAAACTTTCCTGAGATTAAAAATGGCGGCAGAGTAGGAAGATGCTGCATGGTCAACCTCCCAGGAACAAGCTGGCATTACAACTGAAATACGAGAAGGCTTCCTGAATAATCAACAGAAAACTCATAGGAGAGAACCCTGATACCCAAAGACCAAAGGTGGAGCCGGCATACAGACTGGTAGGAGGGGCAGAGACGTGACCCACAGAGGGGAACTGAAGTCCCAGAGAGAGATCTCAGCCGGTGGTGGGGGGGGGGGGGAGGTGCCACTGTGAATTCTGGGATCTAATCCCAGAGCTGGGCTCCCCAGCAGAGAGCACCAAACTGAGGAAGGTATCCACATAATATCAAGCTGTGAAAAGCAGTGGGGTGCTGTCTGCCAGGGAGTGGCAGCTGAAAGTTCAGGCACCCTCTTAAAGGGCCAAGGCACAAACATTCCCTATGGAGCCACCCACCTTGTGCTCTGGCAGAGGGAGGGTGAAGTGGACTGGAGCTGTAAGAGCAGAAGCCAGCACTGGGGGCTTGGGGGACAGAGCTCAGAAGGCAGACACCCCAAGGCTCCTTGGCCAGTCATTCCCTCACACAGCCACATAGACATCTGCCTTGCCTCGGGGGATAGACATCTGCCTTGCCTCGGGGGAAGACAGTTGACACACCCTATTGGAAAACACCTTGCCCTGAGGCCGCTTAAGAGATTAAAAGTAACAATTCCAAGGAGTAGCAGCTGCTTGTGTAGCCGGCCCCCATCCAAGGAACAGCAGCCTCCTGATCACCACACCCTCTGTCTGAGGAACAGCAGCTGTGTGTGAAGCCTCCCCCCACCAGCCAGAGGAGCCACCACAACTGTGAACAGCACCCACCAGAGGAGCTGCTGCCAACTGAGGAGCAGCTGCTACCACAACCCTCCGAGGAGCAACCACAGCCCGAGGAGCCACTGCCACCCAAGGAGCAGCCACTGAACAACTCAACATCTAAATATGGAGGTATGATCAAACATGGGTAGACAAAGAAACCCCCAAAGGAAAGAAAAGGAGGACTCGCCAGAAAAGCAGCTAAGTGATACAGAGGCATGCAACATGACAGAAAAAGAATTCAGATTAAGGGTCCTAGAGTGGAAAAATCGGATGGAGGAAAAAATCAACAACTTATGCAAGAAGCAAGAAGAAACAGATGAAAAAAATCAATTAATTATGTAAGAACCAAGAAGAAATGAAGAGTGATATAGCTGCAATAAAAAACACCATTGAAAGTTTCAACAGTAGACTAGGAGAAGCGGAGGACCGAATTAGCGAATTAGAAGATAGGGAAACAAAACACACCCAAACTGAACAGCAATTGGAGAAAAAAATTAAAAGACAGGAACTATGGGACAACATGAAACGAAACAACATACGAATAACAGGGGTGCCAGAACAACAGAAAGAGGAACAAGGGTTAGAAAACCTATTTGAAGAAATAATATCAGAAAACTTCCCAGAGGTGGGAGGGGGGGGGAATCACACAAGCACAGAGAGTCTCAAACAAGGTGAACCCAAAAAGACCCACACCAAGACACATCATAATTACCATGGCAAATGTTCAGGACAAAGAGAGAATCTTAAAGGCTGCAAGAGAGAGACAGAAAGTTACATTCAAGGGATCTCCCATTAGATTATCAAATGATTTCTCAACAGAAACACATCAGGCCAGAAAAGAATGGACAGAAATTTACAAAGTGATGCAAAACAAAGGACTGAATCCAAGAATACTCTATCCAGCAAGGCTATCATTCAAAATTGAAGGGGAAATAAGAAGCTTCACAGACAAAAATAGGCTAAGGGAGTTTATCACCACCAAGCCAGCAATGCAAGAAATGCTAAAGAGACTGGTGTAAAAAGAAGAAATAAAAAACTCAGAAAGAAAACAGCCACACAAAAAAAGAAATGGCTACAAACAAGTACCTTTCAATAATAACTTTAAACGTAAACGGACTAAATGCTCCAACCAAAAGACATCGAGTGGCTGAATGGATAAAAAAACATGACCCATACATTTGCTGTCTACAAGAGACCCACCTCAGAAGAAGGGACTCACACAGACTGAAAGTGAAGGGATGGAAAAATATCTTTCAGGCAAATGGAAATGAAAAAAAAGCTGGGGTAGCAATACTTATATCTGACAAAATAGACCTCAAAGTGAAGGCCATAACAAGATATAAGGAAGGCCACTTCATAATACTAAAGGGATCAATACAACAAGAAGATACAACCCTGATAAACATATACACCCAATGCAGGAGCACCCAAATACATAAAAAAACTCCTGGAAGATCTCAAAGGAGAGATTGACAACAATACAATCATAGTAGGAGACTTTAATACACCCCTGACATCACTGGATAAATCCTTTAGACAAACAATCAGCAAAGAAACAGCAATCCTAAATGACTCACTAGATCATATGGACTTAATTGACATCTTCAGAACACTTCACCCCAAAGCCACGGAATATACATTCCACTCAGGTGCTCATGGGACATATTCAAAAATAGACCACATATTGGGTCACAAGCAAAGTCTCCCCAAATTCAAGAAGATTGAAATCATACCAAGCATCTTCTCAGACCACGATGGCATATTAGAAATAAACTACAATAAAAACAACCCAAAATACTCAAACACTTGGAAGCTGAATAGCATGTTATTAAATATTGATTGGGTTACCAATGAGATCAAAGAAGAAATTAAAAACATCCTGGAAACTAATGACAATGAAAACACAACAATCCAAAACCTTTGGGACACAATGAAAGCAGTCCTGAGAGGGAAGTTTATAGCTCTACAGGCCTATCTCAACAAACAAGAAAAAATGGTAGTAAATCATCTAAATCTACATCTCAAAGAATTAGAAAGAGAGCAACAAGAAAAGCCCAGAGTGAGCAGAAGGAAGGAGATGATAAAGATTAGAGCAGAAATAAATGACATAGAGACCAAAAAAACAATACAGAAAATCAATGAAACCAAGAGCTGGTTCTTTGAAAGGATAAACAAGATTGACAAACCTCTAGCCAGGCTCACCAAGAAGCAAAGAGAGAGGACCCAAATAAACAAAATCAGAAATGATAGAGGCGGAATAACAACAGATCCCACAGAAATACAAATGATTGTTAAAAAATACTATGGACAACTCTATTCCAACAAACTAGACAACCTGGAGGAAATGAACAAATTCCTAGAAAAATACAACATTCCAAAACTCAATCAGGAAGAATCTAAAAATCTCAATAGGCCAATAACTATGGAAGAAATTGAAGCGGTCATCAAAAAGCTTCCAGCAAACAAAAGCCCAGGACCAGATGGCTTCACAGGGGAGTTTTACCAAACATTCAAGGAAGACCTAAAACCTATCCTCCTCAGACTACTACAAAAAATCCAAGAGGAAGGAACACTTCCAAGCTCATTCTATGAAGACAGCATCACCCTAATACCAAAACCAGGTAAAGACAACACAATGAAAGAGAATTACAGGCCAATATCCCTCATGAACATAGATGCCAAAATCCTCAACAAAATCTTAGCAAATCGGATCCAGCAGTACATCAGAAAGATCATACACCACGACCAAGTAGGATTTATCCCAGGGATGCAAGGATGGTACAAATCCGCAAATCAATAAACATGATATATCACATAAACAAATTGAGAGATAAAAACCACATAGTCATATCAATTGATGCAGAAAAGCATCTGACAAAATCCAACACCCATTTTTGATAAAAACTCTCAGCAAGGTGGGAGTAGAAGGATCATAACTCAACATAATAAAAGCCATATATGACAAGCCCACAGCCAACATCATACTCAATGGACAAAAACTAACACCATTTCCCCTAAGAACAGGAACAAGACAGGGATGCCCACTCTCACCATTTCTGTTCAACATAGTACTGGAAGTATTAGCCATTGCAATTAGACAAGAAGAAGAAATAAAGGCATCCAAATTGGAAAAGAGGAAGTCAAACTGTCCTTATTTGCAGACGACATGATATTATACATACAAAACCCTAAAGACTCCATCAAAAAACTACTAGACTTAATACATGAATTTGGCAATGTAGCAGGATACAAACTTAACCCCAAGAAATCTATGGCATTTCTATTCACCAATAGTGAACTTTCAAAAAGAGAGACAAAAAAGACAATCCCATTTACCATCGCACCAAAAAAATTAAGCTACCTAGGAATAAACTTAAGAGGTAAAAGACCTCTACTCAGAAAACTACAAGATGTTGAAAAAAGAGATAGAGGAAGACATAAACAGATGGAAGAACATACTGTGTTCATGGATTGGTAGAATCAACATCATTCAAATGTCCATACTACCCAAAGGAATCTATAAATTCAATGCACTTCCCATTAAAATACCAACGGCATATTTCACAGATCTAGAACGAACTCACCAAAAATTCATCTGGAATAAAAAAAGACCCCAAGTAGCTGCAGTGATCTTGAGAAAGAACAAAGTAGGTGGGATCTCAAGACCAGATATCAAGTTGTATTACAAAGCCACTGTTCTCAAAACTGCCTGGTACTGGCAAAAGAACAGACATATAGATCAATGGAATAGAATAGAGAGCCCAGAAATCGGCCTGAACCATTATGCTCAATTAATATTTGACAAAGGAGGCAAGAACATACAATGGAGTCAAGATAGTCTCTTCAATAAATGGGATTGGGAAAATTGGACAGATACATGCAAGAAAATGAAACTTGACCACCAACTTACACCATACACAAAAATAAACTCAAAATGGATAAAGGACGACAAGAAACCATAAAAATTCTAGAAGAATCCAAAGGCAACAAAATCTCAGACATATGCTGAAGCAATTTCTTCACTGATACAGCTCCTAGGGAGAAAATGAACAAATGGGACTACATCAAAATAAAAAGCTTCTGCACAGCAAAAGAAACCATCAACAAAACAACAAGAAAGCCCACTGCGTGGGAAAACATATTTGCCAATGTCATATCTGATAAGGGCCTAATCTCCAACATTTATAGGGAACTCATACAACTTAACAAAAGGAAGATAAACAATCCAATCAAAAAATGGGCAAAGGATCTAAATAGACACCTTTCAAAAGAGGACATTCAGAAAGCCAAGAGATATATGAAAACATGCTCAAAGTCACTAATCATCCGAGAGATGCAAATCAAAACAATGAGGTACATCTCACATCTGTCAGAATGGCAATCATCAACAAATCAACAAACAACAAGTGTTGGAGAGGATGTGGAGAAAAAGGAACCCTCCTGCACTGCTGGTGGGAATGCAGACTGGTGCAGCCACTATGGAAGACAGTATGGAGCTTCCTCAAAAAACTAAAAATGGAACTCCCATTTGACCCTGTGATCCCACTTTTAGGAATATATCACAAGAAACCAGAATCACCAATCAGAAAGGATATATGCACCCATATGTTCATAGCAGCACAATTCACCATAGCTAAGATCTGGAAACAGCCTAAGTGCCCATCAGTAGATGAATGGATTAGAAAACTGTGGTACATCTACACGATGGAATACTATGCTGCTGTAAAAAGGAAGGAACTCTTACCATTTGCAACGGCATGGATGGAACTGGAGAGCATTATGCTAAGTGAAATAAGCCAGTCAATGAAGGAAAAATACCACATGATCTCACTCATTCATGGATAACAAAGACCATTATAAACTTATGAACAATAATGGATACAGAGGCAGAGCTGCCTTGAGCAGACTATCAAACTGCAGCGGGAAGGCCAGGGAGGGTAGGGGGGCAAGAAGGGGGGGGGGGTAAGAGATCAACTGAAGGACTTACATGCATGCATATAAGCATAACCAATGGACATAAGACACTGGGGGGTAGGGGAGGCCAGGGGATTGTCAGGAGTGGGGGAAAAAAGGAGACATATGTAATACCCTTTGTAATACTTTAAGCAATAAAACAATTAAAAAAATAAATAAAAGATAATATATCAATAGAAAAAAAAAACAACTTTCCTATTATTTTCCTTTCTTCACTCTCCCCAAAACTGACAGACATTAGACCTACCAATAGTTTTATCTCTATTCACCTTCCAAACCAATGGTCCTTCATGAATCATCTTCCTTTTTGTTAAATCCAAATTCTGTCAAAATAAAAAGAATTATACAGAAATTCTTTCTAAGTTCTTAGTGAGATAATATTTTAGTCTCTTTTCAAGAAATTCTTAATACAGACAGTCCTCGGGTTATGTCTGACTCGACATACGTCATTTCGTGGTTATGTCGCCATCTCTCATTTATTTATATTTTAAAAAAGTTCCGTCATTTTGACGTATGCACATATGTGCTTTATATTTTTTATTATTTATTTACCACAAGTAAAGGTCAGAAATTGTTATCTTTCTTTTAAATTTATTTTACCATTTCACTTCATTACTGCTGTGTATGTGCTCCATGTGAGTGACATAGGTGCTTATGTAGGTGGGTTCCGATTTACGGCAAAAATCGTGTTACGCTGTGCCGGAGGAACGGATCTCCATCGAAACCCAAAGACCTACTGTATAAAAATACCACTTACATTCACTATTATTGATATCTGTCAATTACTGAAAATGAAATAAACAGTAAGGTCAAGTAAGCTGCATAACATTTTCTAAAAAAACTCTCAGAAGTGCTGCCTTCTAAATCTCTCTCAACAGATGACCCAGCTTATGAAAGTGAAGCTGTGAGCATTCAGCCATCAGATTCTCACCATCCCTGCATTTTCTATCAATAACCAGATGAGGATGTTGCTAAGCTGGTTTGTAAGACGCCTCTAGTCCCAGGTTCTGGTGGCAAGGGAACGTCTAAGGAGCAGCACTCAGGCTCGCTCTCGGGAGGAACGGTGGAGTCGGAGAGTCGCCTTTAGCATAAGCAGCTCTAGGAAAACCTCGCTCTCTGGCCGGGGATAAGCACAAGCATGCTTGTTGGTAAATTGTTATATATGACACGGAAGTTTTAACAGCCACCAAATTAATCTGCCAAAACAACCAACAGTGAAACAATGTAAGAAAGATTTAAAATCCTAAATAGTGATTAACAGAAAGGCCGCATGTACCAGAGTGACAATTAATAAATATTTCCCTACCATTTGCATAATGGTTTCAACTTTCTAAGGAACTTCATGGAAAAATAATTACCTTGCTTCACTCAATAATCTGGAAAGTTCCCAAAGCAAACAGCCCTATTCTTACTCAAACTGTACAACACAATAATATAACCTAACAAGTAATGTTTTTTCGTCTCTTGCAAATTTTTATCAAAAAAGTTTCCCATAGAAAACATTCCTTAGTGAAGTGGTTCTCAACCTTCTGGCCCTTTAATATAGTTCCTCATGTTGTGACCCAACCATAAAATTATTTTCGTTGCTACTTCATAACTGTCATGTTGCTACTGTGATGAATCGTCATGTAAATATCTGATATGCAGGATGGTCTTAGGCGACCCCTGTGAAAGGATCGTTCGACCGCCAAAGGGGTCGCGACCCACAGGTTGAGAACCGCTGCCTTAGGGGAAGCCTACACAAAGCAGCCCCCAGGGACACAGCGTTCAGAAGGAAGAACTGAGCCTGGAGCATCAGCCTCGGGCGGTGCTCCCTCAGAGGCACCGCCTCCTGTGGCCGGCAGTGATTTCACGGCCCAGGTCACTGCCGACCATGTCTCACCCGGAGCTCCTCCACGTCTGGGTACTCGGACAGCTTCAGGCTGGAGGTGTCAAGGCGGCGCTGATAATCCTCTAAACGCTGAGAAGCAGACGGGACAGAGCAAAGGTTACTGCTGCGGAGCTCAAAGCCTTCCCTGCCCCTAAGTCACATGGCACTGACTGAGCTCTGTGCGATACCAGACAGGCGGACGCTCCATCTTCCTTCAGTTCTCCTTGGGCTTTGAGAGCTCTCCTAGTGCCTGTCTTACCTCTGGCTGTTCTTCAATCTTTTCGGACTCACAAGCTGGTATTTGTTTTCTGAGCATGTAAACCAGTGGTTCCCAAACTTATTTGGCCTATTGCCCCCTTTCCAGAAAAAATATTACTCAGCGCCCCCTGGAAATTAATTTTTTTAAAATTTTAATAGCAATTAAACAGAAAGAGATATGTATTAATGTTTCTACCTTTTTCGTAAAATATAGTAAAGAAAGGTGTAAATTAGAAACATTGAAGTTTGAAATTATGAAACTATTTATTGAACTCAGAATAGAAAGGTAATACAAAAAAAGTTAAAACAAATGCCCCTGTGGCCATCACTGCCCCCCTGGATCGCTGCAGCGCCCACCAGGGGGCGGTAGCGCCCACTTTGGGAATCACTGATGTAAACCATGTACATGACACACAATTCAGAAGCTGCTGCAAGGCACAGAGTAAAAAGTAGGTCTCCCCCACCCTGCTTGCTTGCCTCTCCACCCCAATGTGCTCTAAAGGAATGCCCATTTCTTGGGCAGCCTGTAAGAAAAATTCTAAGCAAATAGAATACATGCGTATGCTTGTCTCTGTATATGTTGTGTGTATATATCCTTCAACAAAAGACATGGTAGCCTAATATATTTATATACACTTTTCTATATGTACATATCACTCATCAATGGATCTCGGACATTGTCCCACATTAGCCTATATAGAAAGAAACAGCGGTCTCATATTTTTAGTGACTGCATGGTATTCAACTCTGAATGAACTATAGCTCATTACTGAAGGAAATGCAGGTTACTTCAAATCTTCTAACAAACAACATTGCAATAAAATGGCCTTAACGTATACTTTTGTCCACATATGTAGATACAACTATAGAATAAATTTCTAAAGGAAGAACTGTTAGCTCAAAGGGTACATGCATTTTCCCCAAGATTATAAAATTCTCAAATACACAGAACAGTTTGACTGTGTACAGTGATTACCTAGATGCCTCCCACCTACATTCTACAAATAACACTTGCTTTTGTTTGTCATATACCCGTCCTTCTAGTCATCCTCATCCCTCTATCCATCAATCCACTTTGTATTTTGCATGCATTTCAAAATAAATTGCAGACACAGGACACTTTACCTCTAAACATTTTAGCATTCCTGGTATAAACAAGAATTCAATATTTCTTTACAGTTCTTTTTATAAACTAAAATCTACAAACAGCGACATGCACACGTCTTAAATGTAGCTTTCCATACGTTTTACAAACGCAAGTGCACCTGTGCAAACTCTATCAACTTATAAAATGCCGCTGCTCTCATATTTTCCTAATCAGTGTCTGTCCCCACATGCCCAGTGACAACCACCTTTCTGGCTTTCCCCCCATTGATTAGTTTATCCTGTTCTGGAAGTTTACATACATAGAATTATAAGTATATACTCTTCTTTTTCTTTTATCCTCATCCAAGCATATGTTTTTATTGGTTTTAGAGAGAGAGAGGAAGAAGGGATGGGGGTGGGAGGGAGAGAGAGACAGCGAGAGATAGAAACCTCGGTATGAGAAAGAAACATCCATTGGTTGCCCCCCATACTTGCCCCAGCTGGGGAATAAACCCGCAACCTAGTTCAGTAATCAAACCTGCAACCTTTTGGAGTGTGAGAGACACCCTAAACAACTGACTACCTGTGTGTGCCCTTTCGTGTCTGGATTCTTTCTCTGGAATGTTTGCGAGGTTCATCCATGCTTCCTTCAGTAGGCCCTTCCTTTTTATTGCTGGTATTATTTTCTTTTATGATTACACCACATTTGGTTAATGTTATAGACAATCTTATAAGTCTCTGGGCATAAATTCATTTCTCTTGGGTAAATAATTAGGAAAAGAATGGCTGGGTCAAAGGATATATGAATATGTGTATTTTTAATTTACATAAGTATTGCCCTCTGGCATTTGATTATTTTTTACTCGAATCACACACTGGCAAGTTCCCATTTTGCTATCGCCTCACCAATAGAGTCGTCATCATACTCAGTTCCTAAAAATTACATCCAGGTCCACGGACTCAGGAGGCCTCTGTGCGCTTGTGTCTGATCTTCGGTCCAGTGCGCTGAGAGCTGGGCCCATGAAGCCAACTGCTTACTGTGCATGTTCCCTGATGTCTCAAATGAACTCAGTCTTCCTCCACTCATCCCAAATGTGCAAGTCAGAGACCTTGGTTTATTCCTGACATTCTCTCTCTTCAAATCCTTCTCTAAGTCAGGCAACACACTCTGTCAATTCCATCTTCTAAATACTTCTCTAAGCCTAGCACCGCTTGGAGCACCGGCATCGTCCTGGCCACAGACCCGTGAGCTCTTGCATCCGTTCTCGTCCCTCTCCAGCCCTTTCTCAGAGTAGATGGCTGATACTTACAAAGTGAAAGCCCGAGCAGGCCCCTCTCCTTGTTGAACGTCTATAATGAAGCCCTATTGCTCTTAGCATAGAAACGTTTCTAAACAGGGTCTACAGCAAGCATGTCAAACTCCCAGCCGGCAGGCCGCAGGCCTCAGCCCACAGGCCATGAGTTGGATATGCTTGGTACAGAGCCCTGCATGATATGGCCCATCCCCACTGCACCTCATTTCATGTCACTATGACTTGCGTTTCATCATGATAAACACAATAATCTCATCTTTAAGTTCCTCAAACAGACCATGCTTTTTTTTTTTTTTTTTAAAGTTTTGTTTTGTTTTTTTAATTGGCGAGAGAAGAAGGGAGAGGGAGGGATAGGAACGTCTGAGAGAGAAACATAGTTCCAGCCCGCAGCCCCGGTCCTGTGCCCTGACCGGGAATCCACCCAGCGGCCTACACTCCTAGCATCCTGAAATTCTCCGTCATTAAAGTTATCAACATTGACATAAAACACTTGCACTTTGATCTGCTCAATGACATTCCTTCCTGCTAGAAAAAAGCTCAGTGTGGGCCAGCACTGTGCTCACTTTTTAATCTCTCTGTGCCCTACACTCAGCACCCACAGATGCTCCACGGTCACTAAATCCATGAATGGACGAGCAAACACGCAGCGGGAGATGCTCGAACAGTCAGCCAGAACTCTCATACTCTGCTCAAAGTGACCCAGACCCACCGACAATGTGAAGCTAACAAACGTTCACCCTGCAGTTATGCAGTGAGGTTTTCAATTACTATTTCACAGATTCCAGGTGATGCTAATTTAATATTCTCACTATGCCATCCTGTATCTTTTTGCTTTTCCCTTCTTACCTGCTTGTTTTCTGCTTCCTTGACAGCCTGATTTACATAATTTAAGATCTGACGACAGTGATCAGCTGCTTTCTTCACCTTCTCCCTTTCTGTTGGCCACTCTAAACAAGGGCAAAAATCCAAATGTCAATGGAGGAAATCAGAAAAAAGTGTGTGTGTGTGTATCCTATCTAATAATAACCATGGTAATTGACCATACCTTCACTACACCTCCCACTGGCTAATCAACACAATATGCAAATTAATCGCCAACAAAGATGGCGTCTAATTTGCATACTACAGGCAGGGTGGTACAGCGCAGCTGCCAGCGTGAGCCGCCATCCTGGGCCGCAGGCCAGCCCCAGAAGCTGCCCAGAAGCTGGTGATCGGGGGGAGATGGGGGTCCCCTGCCCAGGCCTGACACCTCTGGCGGAGGCATTAGGCCTGGGCAAGGGGCCGATCCAGCAATCGGAGGGTGATGGGGGTCGATGCCTCTGGCCGAGGTGTCAGGCCTGGGCGAGGGCAGAGCCGGTGATCAGGGGGGGTGGGAGATGGGGGTTCCCTGCCCAGGCCTGAAGCCTGGGCCAGAGGCATCAGGCCGGGGCAGGGAGCAGAGCCGGTGATGGGGGGGGAGATGGGGGTCCCCTCCCAGGCCTAACGCCTCTGGCCGAGGCGTCAGGCCTGGGCGAGGGCGGACCCGGTGATTGGGGGGAGAGAGGGTCCCCTGCCCAGGCCTAAAGCCTGGGCCAGAGGCGTCAGGCCTGGGGGCGGGTGGGGGCCAAGCCGGCGATTGGTGTGAACTACAGAGGAAACACCTTTTCTGACCAATCATTGGCTTAGCTCCCTGTATGCCACTGGTAATATTCTTAGTAACTTGGGTAATAAGAATCCAAAAAGGGGATCTAGGGTTTTTCCACCTTACTCCTGGTGAAAAAAACGAAGGTCTGCTGCTGGAGGGTTAAGAAATGTCATATCCTGCCCTAGCCCGTTTGGCTCAGTGGATAATGCCTTGGCCTGCTGATGGCAGGGTCTGAGTTCAATTCTGACCAAGGGCATGTACCTAGGTTGCAGGCTCCTTCCTGGCCGGGGCCCAGGTCAGGGCTCATGCAGGAGGCAACCAATCAAAGTGTTCCTCTCACTTTGATGTTTCTCTCTGTCTTTCCCTTTCTCTTCCATTCTCTAAAAATCAATGGAAACGTATCCTCAGGTGAGGATAAAAAGAAATAATAAAGAAATTATTATTATATGAAAGACACATCTTAAAATGCCTAAAGAAAGTTGTCTTTTTTTTACGGTGAAGGGACTGGAGCCCATGTTGATGAAAAACCTTGCTGGCTGCGGTAACTGGCAGTGGCTGCAGCAGCGGGGTGATGGGGCTGGTACCTTCCCCTGATCAGCCCGGTCGCCTCCCACAAAGGGAGGCCAGACTGCAGCTTAGGCCCTATCCCCAAGGGGAGCAGGGAGCGGGCCTAAGCCATCACTAGGACATCCCCTGAGGGCTCCCAGTACGTGAGAGGGGGAAGGCTGGGCTGACGGACACCCCTTCCCCAGTGCACAAATGTCATGCACCGGGCCCCTAGAATATATGTGTATGTGTGTGTGTGTGTGAGACTAAGCAATCGTTACGACGAAATGACCGGTCACTATGATGCACACTGACCACCAGGGACAGACGCTCAACACAGGAGCTGCCCCCAGCCCACAGGCCCCGATCACCTGATTGGGGCCAGGCCGCGGGCTGGGACAGGGAACAGGGGTGGGTGGCAGATGTGGCCCCTTTCCCAGGGGGGCCGAGGGCTGGAGGTCAACTTCCCAGGTCCCTTCCCCTGTCTGGCAGGCCCCAATCGGCCTGCTGCCTGCCTGCTGTGGTGGCCTCCCCCACCACCCCTGGCCAGCAGGACCCGATCACCTGAACAGGGCCTGCCAGCCAACCCCCAGTCCCTCCCCTGGGCCGGCAGGTCCCAATTGCCCAATCAGGGCCAGGCCTCGGGCTGGGACAGGGAACTGGGGGTGGGTGGCAGCGGATGCGGGCAGCGAGAGGAGGAGGAAGAGGGGTAGGTGGGGAACCACTTGGCTTCCTCCATCACCGGGGGCAACCCAAGCCTCCTGCTCGCTCCAGCTCTGTGGCCACTGCCATCTTAGTTGGGTTAATTTGCATACTCGCTCCTGATTGGCTGGTGAGTGTAGTGGAGTGACAGAGTGATGGTTAATTTGCATGTTTTTCTTTTATTATATAGGATTTTGCTCTAGGATTTGGAAACCTGCAGGCACCAGAATGCTCTGAGAGACGTTTGTAGTTTTGTTGCTACGCTTTTGAATTTCCATGAGTGCTGACCTGTGTACTTGGCAATGTTGTCCAAGAGGAGAGGGTACTTGGTGAGCCTCTGCATCTGGGTGGGAATGATGTCCTTCAGCTGCAGGCGCCGGCACAGTGGGTTACTCTCAGCGTCCTGCATGAAAGGGAGGGGGGAAATGATCCTGGTTATTAGGAGGGCACCTATCATGGACCACATGTTCATTACATAAGTGTCTATAGCAGGGGTGGGCAAACTTTTTGACTCGAGGGCCACAATGGGTTCTTAAACTGGACCGGAGGGCCGGAACAAAAGCATGGATGGAGTGTTTGTGTGAACTAATATAAATTCAAAGTAAACATCATTACATAAAAGGGTACGGTCTTTTTTTTCAATAGTTTTATTCATTTCAAACGGGCCAGATCCAGCCCGCGGGCCGTAGTTTGACCACGGCTGGTCTATAGCATCACAGCCCTGGTAATTAAATAAAACTTACCACATGCTAAGACATACCACTGCCACACTACACTTGTTTCTCTTTATCACTAGACCAATGGCTTGTTATCTGTTTAAGCAACAACTTAGAGCATCCATAATCAACTCCAAGAATTACTTTCTTGGGATAACACAGTTTTATCTTCACATATTCAGAAACTCTACTTTCATGTGCTTATAACTGGCATTCCTACCAAACCAACTGAGCTGATATGCCGGCTGCCATCCCAAGGAGGCAGACCTGCAGTTGGTAAAGTGCTAGACAATAAAGCATTTGAGGCTTTGCAGGCCTTACAGTCTCTGCACAACTTTCAGCTCTGCTGTTTTAGAACAACAGCAGCCAATATGTCAATGAATGAACATGGCGATGTGTATTAAAAGCTCTGAGATGGCCCCCACATCCCTCTGGTGCCCACACCTGTGTAACCCCATTCCCGTGCTGTGGCCAGAACCTGGCGCGGATGGGACATCACAGCTCGGACTAGGCTACTGCGGGTGGATTTCTGAAGTCTGTCGTAGGTGAGGCTGGCTTATCAAAGGAGCCTTTATTTTAAAGAAAAGCTCCGTCAGGGATATGCATTCCTACTCGCCTGGAAGAAAGCAAACACTCACCTTCCAAACTGCCCACAGGGGCCGTGAAGCAAACAGATACGGCATCGGCTAGGAGCCAAGACAACAGACGAGGATCTCAGCTATGCATTGACAAGGATGTGAATTCTGCTAACAAGTGGGCCTAGAAGAGGACCCCCAGCCCAGGTGAGAACTACAGGTGAAGGGAGGACCCAGCTGAACTACACGTCCTCCTCAACTCATACCAGGGCATCATGCATGGACAGTGTGTTACGTTCCTGTGCTTGTGGTAATTTACTATCTGGCAATAAAAAACTACCTGTTTTCCAATAAAATGATTGACCAAAACAAGCAAGAGAATGGATATGGCCCCTGGGCTGTAGCTCACTGACCCTCGATCACTGCCCATGTATACCTCAATCATATGGCTGCTGTTATGTTCTTCTCTGGGCTTGTTGCAAACCCATTTCTATGTTTTGATGATATTATTTTAACAGTGTGCATGGCCACTTCGGGACAATATCTCCATGGCAATGTGAACGTCTATGTCAAGTATTTTAATCATGAATATACTCTTTATTTTTCACCATCCCAAGATCATCTTTCTACCATTAGTAATTGAAGAGGGCAGTTATAGCTTTAAAAAGCATTCACATAGATATAGCCCTTGTGAAAGACAGGCTTAGACTCTACAATTGGTAAAACTATTTTTTTCTCTCACAGTCACCCTAAACTCACCTGCACAAACGTCTGGAACCGAGAGTCCTTTTTCTGACGAGATTTGATCATTTCCAGGGCGAAGGGCTGGTTGCTGCAGAAGGTGGCAGCAGCGTGCTTCAGCTTCTCCTCCCCGGGCCCACTGAACTGAGCGAGAGACCAAGAACCGCCAGGGTGTGAGCTGACAGCAGGCCAAACACCGTGCGCGAGAGGACACAAGCCTTCAGGTATTTTAGTAAATATTCTCAGAAGACAAGAAACAAAGAACTTCACGTGCATGTGGAATATCCATGTTTCTCTATGAAAACATCTGATCCTGACACGGCCGAACCTTTCCTAATTACATTCTACTGGTTCTTCCTGTCGCCTGCACACTTACCCCTTTCCGGGCTATGCCGCTTACATACTATGCTAGACAGAAAGGTTGGCACTGGGGAATTATGAGACATAATCACGTAAGAGATTGTGAGTGGTAAACACACAGTACAACATACAGATGCTATGTCATAGAATTGTACACTTGAACCCTACATAATTTTATTAACCAATGTCACCCCAATAAATTTAATTAAAATAAATAAAATTTAAAAAAGTGTAAAAAAGACTGAGGTTACAATTTCATTTTCTTAGAATCTGACACCTTCACAAAAATGACTCTCTTATTGCTCCAGGAAGAAGATCCTGGCATTAGAGCTTGCTTTCGTACTCTGAAACCTAGGTCAGGTCAAAACTTTCCGGGGCACCAATGAAATTAAATCATCCACTGTTTCACTTGTATAGAGGTGAGACATCTATGCTGCACATCTCTCTTGTGGAAGATCCAAGGGCCTGCGAATTTCTTACTAAAAATTATACTTTTTTAAACTGGTATTTTTAATATATGAATTTAAGTTTGTATATGCCATAATTTTAAAGTTTCTGATGAAACACCTAACAAGTGCTTCAACTCCTAATAGGCACTGTTTTTTTATAAAAAAAACATTTTTCAAAATTTATTTCAGAGAGGAAGGGAGAGGGGAGAGATAGAAACATCAATGATGAGAGGGAATCACTGATCAGCTGCCTCCTGCACGCCCCCTACTGGGGATGAAGCCCACACCCCAGGCATATGCCTTAACTGGAATCTAACCTGGGACCCTTCAGTCTGCAGGCTGGCGCTCTATCCACTGAGCCAAACCAGCTAGGGCTAGAGCGCTCTTATAAGTAGAGGTCAAATAAATTTTTATAACCAGGTTTATATTTGTAATAATTGCTTTCATGATTTACAAATAAACTTTTCATATACTCTTCCCTTTAAAGCCATATTTTCAAAAGTTTGTACATGAAGATATTTTGTTAAAAATCCCTTTGTAGTGCATGTGCAGATAAATTCAGAGTATTTTTTCAACTAGGACACATACAAGTGGAATTGTAATCGGGGATAACTAGTGGCTCGGTGCATGAAATTTTTTTTAAAATATATTTTATTGATTTTTTACAGAGAGGAAGGGAGAGGGATAGAGAGTTAGAAACATCGATGAGAGAGAAACATTGATCAGCTGCCTCCTGCACACTCCCCACTGGGTATGTGCCTGCAACCAAGGCACATGCCTTGGCCGGAATCGAACTGGGACCCTTGAGTCCACAGGCCGACGCTCTATTCACCGAACCAAACCAGTTAGGGTGCGGTGCATAAAATTTGTGCACTTGGGGGGGGGGGGAGTCCCCTAGCCTTGCCTGTGCCCTGTCACAGTGTGGGAGCCCCATGATCCATCGCCCCAAAGAGGTAGGCCTCTGTGAGCCTCACATCCCCAGGGCCAGCGCTGGGAACACGAGCCTCACATACCCGGGGCTGGCGCCAGGGGCAGCGACGCGAGCCTCTGCAAACCTCACACGGCAGAAGTTCCCGCCCAGTAGCTGCTTGCTCATTCACTTACTCGCTCATTCATTCGCTCATTCACTCACTCATTATTCACTCACTCACTCACTCAGAAAACCCTCTCAGGTCCCTGGCACCAGGCCAGGCACTGAAGGTGATAAGACAGAGCTATGTCCTCAAGATGTTAGTGATTCAGTAGGGTGAAGCAGGCACACGAACAAGGCAGTTGTACGCACAGACGCACTGTACTGGGTTCGGTGAGGGCTGTAACTAACGCCAACTTTGTTCTCTTGATAAAAATGGGGCCTCAGGAGCCAGGCCACCCCAAGCCTGTAGGCCTGTGCTTAGGCCAGGAGTGGCCGGAGTCCCGGAACATGACAGAGGGTGCAGGTCAGGCTGAGGGGTCTGGCCCCACCCCTAACCCCCTTCCCCGAGTGCACAAATTTTTGTGCACCGGGCTACTAGTCCTATATAATAAACGACCGGTCACTATGATGTGCACTGACCACCAGGGGCAGACACTCAACGCAGGAGCTGCTCCTTGGTGGTCAGTGTGCTCCCACAGGGGGTGTGCTGCTCAGCCGGGCTCCTGGACTGTGAGAGGGCGCAGGCTGGGCTGAGGGATCCCCTGAGTGTATGAATTTCGTGCACTGGGCCTCTAGTACAGTCATAATAGGAGACTTTAACACCTGAATGTCATCAATAGATACATCTTCCAAACAAAAAAATCAACAATGTAAAAAAGATCTTAAACGACACACTAGATCAGATGGATTTAATTGATATTTACAGAACGTTTCATCCCAAAGCTGCAGAATATACATTCTATTCAAGAACACAAGGAACATTCTCAAAGATAGACCACTGTTAGGACAGAAAATAATTCTTAACAAATAAAAGAAGATTGAAATCTTATATAGCATCTTCTTGAATCACAATGGCATGATACTAGAAATCAACTGTAATAAAAAAAAAAAAAACCAAAACATTAAAACACATGGAGGCTAAATCGTATGTTATTAAACAACGAATGGGATACTAATATCAAACAAGAAATCAAAAACTATCTAAAAACAAATGAAAATGAACACATAACAACCCAAAACCTATGGGGCAGAGTGAAAACAATCCTGAGAGGAAGTTCATAGCATCACAGGCCGACCTCACGAAGAACAATCTCAAGTAAACAATCTAACACTACACCTGGAGAATAAAAAGAACTCAACAAAAAATAAATACGAAAAACAAAATAAAAAAACAAACAAGAAAAGTCCAGAATAAGGGGAAGGAAATAATAAAGAGCAGAGCAGAAATAAGTAACATAGAGAATAAAAATAAAATACAAAAATCAATAAAACCAAGAGCTAGTTCTTTGAAAAGATAAGATTGATTAACCTTTAGCCAGACTCATCAAGAAACACGCCCTAGCCTGTTGGCTCAGTGGATAGAGTGTCTGCAGACTGAAGGTTCCCAGGTTCCATTCCAGTCGAGGGCACATGCCTAGGGTGCTGCTTGATCCCCAGAAGGGGGCGTGCAGGGCAGCCGATCATGATTCTCTCTCATCACTGATGTTTCTCTTTCTCTCTCTCTTTCCCTTCCTCTCTCAAACAAAGAGGACCCAAATAAATTGATCAAAGAGGTGAAGGAACAACTGACATCACAGAAATACAAAGGATTGTTAGAAAATACTGTGAACAACTATATGACAACAAATCGAACAACCTAGGAGAAATGGACAAATTCCTAGAAACATACAATCTTTGAAAACTCTATCAAGAAAAATCTGGCAACCTGAATAGATGGATAACAACTAATGAAACTGAAGCAGTAACCAAAAAACTCCCAGCAAACAAAAGTCCTGGACCCGATGGCTTCACAAGCAAATTTAACCAACCTTTCAAAAAAGAACTAACACCCATCCTTCTCAACTATGTCAAAAAATTCAAGAGGAGGTATGACTCCCAAGCTTTTTTTTGGGAGGCCAGCATTATTCTAATTCCAAAGATGCTACAGAGAAAGAAAATTATAGGTCAAAATCCCTTATGAACATAGAGGCTAAAATCCTCAAGAAAATCTTAGCAACCTGGATCCAGCAATACATTAAAAAGATCATATACAATGACCAAGTGGGATTTATCCGGGGATACAAGGTTTGTAATACATTCACAAGCCAATAAATACGATACATCACATAAACAAAATGAAGGATAAAAATCATATATCAATCAATGCAGAAAAACCATTCAACAAAACCCAGCATTCGTTTATGATAAAGACTCTCAGCAAAGTGGGACTAGAGGGATCATACATCAACATAATAAAGGCCATAGGTGACAAACCTACAGCCAACATCATATTCAGTGGGAAAAACTAAAACCATTTCCCCTAAGAACAGGAACAAGACAGGGATGTCCACTTTCACCACTCTTATTCAACATAGTACTCTAAGTCCTAGCCACAGTGAACAGACAAGAAGAAGAAGTAAAAGGCAGCAAAAGTGAAAAGGAGGAAGTCAAATGGTAATTATTTGCAGATGGCATGATACTGTAAACAGGAAACCCTAAAGAATCTATAGAAAACTACTAGATTTAGTAAATGAATTTGGCAAAGTAACAGGTTACAAAGTTAATATTCAGAAATTGGTGACACTTTTATACTCCAATAATGAACTATCAGGAAAGGAAACTAAGAAAACTATCCCATTTACAATTGCCTCAAAAAAAAAATGCCTAGGAATAAATTTAACCAAGGCGGTAAAAGACCTGTATTTGGAAAATTATAAGACGCTGAAGAAAGAAATTGAACAAAAAATGTAAATAACATTATACACTGTGCTCATGGACAGGAAAAATTAACATCGTTAAAATGTCCATACTACTCAAAGCAATCTCTAGATTCAATGCGCTTCCTATCGCAATACCAATGGTGTGTTTCATAGACCCAGAGAAAATAATCCAAAAATTTATATGGAACCAGAATAGCCCTGAATAGGCATAGCAATCTTGAGAAAGAACAAAGTTGGAGGTATCACGCTACCTGATATCAAACTATACTCCTAGACGATTGTCATCCAAACAGCCTGGTACTGGCATAAAAACAGGCACAAAGATCATTGGAAGAGAATAGGGAGCCCAGAAATAAACCAATGCCTATATAGTCAAGTAATATTTGACAAAGCAAGGAAAAGCATACAATGGGGTAAAGAACATCTATTCAATAGAGGATGTTGGGAAAATTGCACAGATACATGCAAAAAAATGAAACTAGACCACTTTCTTACGACACACATGAGAATGGATTAAAGATTTAAATATAAAACCTCAAACCACAAAACTCCTAGGGAAAACATAGGCAGTAATATCTCTGGTATTTCTTTTAGCAATATTTTTTTCTGACATATCTCTTTGGGCAAAAGAAACAAAAGAAAAAGTAGACAATGGGACCACATCAAACTAAAAAGTTTTTCACAGCAAGGGAAACCATCAGCAAAACAAAAAGACAACCTACTGAATAGCAGAATATATTCAGCAATGAACATCTGATAAGGGGTTAATATAAAAAATTTATAAAGAACTCAGCTATCTCAACGCCAAAAAACGCAAACAATTCAATTTAAAAATAGGCAGGGGGCCTGAATAGATACTTCTCCAAACAAGATATACAGATGATGGCCAATAGCCATTTAAAAAGATGCCCAAAGTCACTGATCACCAGAGAAATGCAAATTAAAACCGCAAGATACCACCCTACACCTGTCAGAATGGCTATCATCAATAAATCACCAAACAAGTGTTGACAAGCATGTGGAGAAAAGGGAACCCTTGTGCACTGTTGGTGTGAATGCAGGTGCAGCCACTGTGGAAAGCAATATGGAGGTTTCTCAAACAATTAAAACTACCTTATGACCTGGCAATGCCAATCCTGGGTATATATCCAAAGAACCCCAAAGCACTAATTTGAAAAGATACATGCACCCCTATGTTCATTGCAGCATTATTTACAACTAGAGGCACGAAGGGGGGTGTCCCTCAGCCTCGTCTGCACCCTCTCCAATATGGGAGCCCTTGGGGGATGTCCGACTGCCGGTTTAGGCCTGATTGGGCCTAAACTGGCAGTCAGACGTCCCTCTGACAATCTGGGACCACTGGCTCCTAACTGCTTGCCTGCCTTATTGCCCCTAACTGCTTCTGCCTGCCAGCCTAATCGCCCCCTAACCACTCCCCTGCTGGCCTGATTGCCCCCAACTGCCCTCCCCTGCCAACCTGATCACCCCCAACTTCCCTCCCCTGCCATGACCCACCTCCTCCACTGGGCCCGGCCTCCGCTTGCGGCCATTTTGTGATGGCCATCTTGTGATGACGTTAGGATGTGATGCATGAGTGCGTGACGACCACCTAGGCTATTTTTAGTATAGATACTAGAGGCCCGATGCATGAAATTTGTGCAAGAGTAGGCCTTCCTTCCCCTGGCTACCGGCACTGGCTTCCCTCTGGCACCTTGGATCCGGGCTTCCCTCCAGCCATCAGCAGGCACCTGGGACCCAGGCTTCCCACACAGCCCCAGCTTCATCTGGAAGGTTGTCCAGAAGGATGTCCAGTCTAATTAGCATATTATGCTTTTATGATCATAGATAATAAACAAGATATAGAAGCAACCCAAGTGTCTATCAATAAGTGAGTGGTGTGGTACATACATACAATGGAATATTACTTGGCCATACAAAAGAAGGAAATTTGCAACAGCACAGATGAACCTAGGAGGTATGATGCTAAGTGAAATAGCCAGGGAAGGACAAATACTACATCATTTCCCTTATGGGTGGAATCTAAAGAGCAAAATAAAGAAACAAACAAAATAGAAACAGACTCATAGATACAGAGAACAAACTGATAGTTGCCACAGGGGAGAGGATTTGGGGGATTAGGTGAAAAAGATGAAGAGATTAAGAAGTACAAATTGGTAGTTATAAAATAGTTTTAGGGCTGAAACCGATTTGGCTCAGTGGATAGAGCGTCGGCCTGCGGAATGAAGGGTCCCAGGTTTGATTCCAGTCAAGGGCATGTACCTGGGTTGCGGGCACATCCCCAGTAGGAGATGTGCAGGAGGCAGCTGATCGATGTTTCTCTCTCATCGATGTTTCTGACTCTCTATCTCTCTACCTTCCTCTCTGTAAAAAATCAATAAAATATATTTTAAAAAAAATAGTCTCGGGGATGTAAAGTACAGCATAGGGAGTAGAGTCAATCATTTGTAATAACTGTGTATGGTGCCAGGTGGGGACTGAAAATATTGGGACACTTGTAGAGTATGTGATTGTCTAGTCCAGGGGTGGGCAAACTTTTTGACTTGAAGGCCACAATGGGTTCTTAAACTGGACCGGAGGCCGGGACAAAGCATGGATGGAGTGTTTGTGTGAACTAATATAAATTCAAAGTAAACATCATTACATAAAAGGTACGGTCTTTTTTTTTTTTTTTTTAGTTTTATTCATTTCAAACGGGCCGCAGTTTGCCCACGGCTGATCTAGTCACTGTGCTGTACACCTGAAACTAACACAAAGTAATATAAATGTCAACTGTAATTGGAAAATAAAGTTAAAAGAATATACTTCTTTTTACATGTATTAAAATAAGGGTTTTTTTTGTCCCATTCTATTAACAGGTTTCTCCACTTTGTTTTAACATGTAGATAGATTTATGTAGTCCCATGGACTCTGAGAAGAGGACCGAGTGCACTTCTCTCCTATATGAATGATGAATCTCACTGGAAACTTGGTTTGAATGCTATTTTATATGAATGTATATTAAACTGCTTAGAAATCAAGGCTGATATCAAGTCCATATGGCTTACAACTTTTTAATCCATATTTGACATGAAAATTGATGCTACAATTTGTCATACTACAAATTTTTTGTTTCAAGTTGAGTAGTGTGCTTGCTAACAAGCCAACAGAACTCAGTTATAACTTTCGCTGCTACACTGACATCAAAAAAGCAAAGCGACTCAGACTATCTCAGAGTAGTCAAAGAATAAGTTGACCTTTTCAAAGAAGTAAACCTCCTTAATAACAATAGTCCTCGAGTGGGCCTAAGGGAGAAAATGCTTTTGGAAGTGCAGTAAGGGCAAGATGAGACTGGGTTATGGTTCCCTAACCCTGCTCTATGAGTTAACTGGCTAAAAAGAGATGTACTACTGGATTGGTAGATTCTAATCTAGACCATGATCTCACCATCAATGAAAGCCGTAAGATCAAGAGTATATTTTAGTGAACTACTAAAATTTATCATTGTAGAATTACCAAAATCTTATGGCAAGCTACATATTGAAATAAATGTCTATGGGCATGTCTAAACAGTTTATGTTCAAACCTGTGCTAAGATTTTACAGACTATGTGATGTACTTTATTATCCACCACCTTAACTTTAGTACTTTCTTTAAAGGTTTGAATCAAACCCCCTTTCCTGTAGGAAGATTTTCTATATGTTCTAATTTCGGTCTTCCTGCTATATAATCCTATAACAACCTGTACTCTCCCCTTATTGTAACACTCATTAAGCTTGAAATAACTAAGGACAATTTCCCCATCTCCTATATAATAAAAGCCTAATATGCTAAATGTCTGGTTGGCCATTCAACCAATCAAAGCGTAATATGCTAATGATATGCTAAGGCCGCTCAACCACTCGCTATGACATGCACTGACCACCAGGGGGCAGACACTCCAACTGGTAGGTTAGCTTGCTGCTGGGGTCTGGCAGATTGGGACTGAGCGAGACAGACCAGACACACCCTGGAGTCCTCCCGTGTCCCTCCCAGGCACCGATTGTGCACCGGTGGGGTCCCTCGGCCTGGCCTGCACCCTCTTGCAATCTGGGACACCCCCAAGGGATGTCAGAGAGCTAGTTTCAGCCCGATCCCGCAGGCCTGGCTGAGGGACCCCACTGGTGCACGAATTCATGCACCAGGCCTCTAATTAATTATAAGCTTCACTAAGGCAGGAGCCATGTCTGTTTTGGTTCCTACTGTATTCCCCAGCACAGGGCTTGGCACATAAATATATATTGAGAGGTCTATATGGACAAATAGAAAAAAAAAAACCTCAATAAATAGCTACCAGAGTCTCTGAACTCTTTTATTATGTTATAAATAAGACAAAGTAATTTTCACTTGTCTACTTTTGTGATGGTAGTTCTGGATCTACAATTGTCTAATGCTGTGCAGTAAATTATGAGATATGGACAGCAGCAGAGAGCTAAATTACATCAGTTATGTAAAAATAATTATATCAGTTAAATTATTTTTATGAGGATCTATTTTATGCTATATTCTTTAAAACACAAAGAAATAGTGTTTGGTGAAAAAAGAGCACTTAGTGGATTGAGCACTTAAAGAAGACATTAACCAGAGAATACATATTCTGGACTCTTCATCTTTACATTACCTTTTCAAAATAGATGACTTTGCATTTTTGGAAATGTTAATTACTTAACTCTTTGAGTGCCAACCAATATCCTAGGAACTATGCTAAAATTGCCAAGGCATTTTTGCTGATTTTACAGCAGTTTAGGAAAAAAAATTATGAATCGCAAGTAAATGAAGTTACATATTCAAAAACTTAAGGAAACCTTTACTACACTGACATATTTAGCAATATCATCATCACTAATAAAAGCAGACTTAGAACTGGACGCCATTTCGAAGCTTTCTTTGATAGTGCTTCCGGCACTTTTGGCAAAAAACACTCAAAGGGTTAACCTAGAATCTGATAATAAAATATCTATAAAAGTATTAAATAAAATAGCAAATTTCCTTACCCAGGTCAGCAAATCTTCCCCAATTTGATCAATAACAGAGGTCTCATTCCTTTTTCGAACAGTCTTCATTTGCTCATTCAGCCCAACTCAAGGGGAAAAGTAAAATGGAAAAAAAAGTAAGCATATACTCATTACTGGTAGTACCAAGACCTTAAATTAAAAGGACAAGACTCCGAGTAGTATAACTACTTCTAATCTCCTTAAGTACAAACCAGGACACAATTCTTACACATCTAGGTATTTGTGAGCTCTATCTGAAAAACAGATGGTAAAGGACCAAACAATGTGGAAAATAGCAAATTACATACAAGATAGATATATCAAATAGTCATTTAACTTAAGACTCCATCTATAACCATACTTATAAAGTACTTGGATTTAAATAATGCAGGTCACTCTGCCTACTGTTCCTCTGAAAATGTCTATGTTCACAGGCAATGGACATAATCTAGCCTGAACTTGACAATGCATGTTGGTGAAACCTAAAATCATTCCCAAAGAAGTGAGAAGGCATGCATAGGGTGGCAGGTGTTGAAGGACAGTGATGGCATTCCTGGTGAAAAAAGATGAACCACGAAGGGACACGGGGAACAGTAACTCAGAGAGGAACGGGCACACGGCCATGAAGTCCGTGATGACCACCACCAGGGATCCAGCAGGAGAGAGCTCCCCTGTAGTCACTCGAGCGTCCCAAGCAAACAATAAAACAATGAAATGATCTAATTCATGGAAATGACACCACCACGGGTTATCTATTGCGTATTACTATTTGCAAAAATGCATTTATCCATATCTATTACATGGGATGTGTATTTTTAAAAACATACACACTATAACTGATAGGAAGTTTTCAAGGGTAGTTTTGACAACTCATGTTTTTCAGCTTAGACACTGACATTTGATCCCGAGTCCTGTGTTAACACGTTGAATAGAAAAGGCTGATGTGGGAATGGGGTGAAGGTTTATCCAAAGATCCAATCACTTCATTACGTTGTGCTCTTTTACATATTGGAAATGTTAGGGACAAAGATCAGAGTAAATTTCTCTTACTGTGAAGCTGAAGAATATCTTCCAAGTTCGAAAAAATTTTCCTTAGTTCTGAAGGTGACAGAATTCCTTCTCTGCATACTCGCTGGTAGAACACTTGATCAAGAACCTTTAATGTTCGAACATGAGCTCTTTCAGTGTAAAATAATTCTAAACAGAAAAGAAATAAATATAAAATGTGGCCTCACTTAGAATAATTCTACAAAAAGTCTAGTTCCCATCTCACACCACGCAGTTATTACAATATTATAGCCCATATTCCTATAGGCTTCAGCTGGAATTAACTAGCAAATAAGTTATATAACAACCATTTATAGTTTAGAAAAGGTGAAGTCTTTTTTTTTTATCCATAGAACTCACCTACATATTGGCTCTAAGAGTTTAATATTGGCAAATGAAAAACATCATTATAAACTGTTTTGTACTTAAAAGGTAACAGTGTACTCCAAAACTCCTCTATCTTTTTAAAATAGTAGCCACCAATCATAACTACATTAGAAAACCATAAGCCCAAACATCATACAGCCTTTAGATGGAGCCCTCCTCATAAGAACAGTACTCTTGGTTATCTAACACCTATCAAACCTCATTTCTGAGGCCACACTTGTAATCTCACTGTCTCAAAGTTATTGGGGACAAGAGGATGTTTATGAAGTCACATCCTAAGGGCAGGAGAGGGCAGTGTCCACGGAACCTCTGCTGCGCACGTGCTGGGGGAGGAAGAGCGGCACCAGGGTTAAGGGGGAGCTGGGTGCTAGTTTTCTCCCTGTCACTTATCAGCGGCACAAGCTTAATCCCTTCCATTGCCCTGAGCCTTAGCATTCTCATTCAGAATCGACGAACAAGATGAAGAGTCTGAAAGTGATGAGGCAAATGTCTCAATGATTTTTCTAGTTTTAAAGTTCAAGGATCCTCTATATAGTTTAATTTCATCTTCGTTTAAAACAAAAGGCAAGCAGAAACGTGGAAGCAAACACCAAGGTCCAGGGCATTGTCTGCTACAATAAACACACTTAAGCAACAACTGATTCAACTCACCATTAATCACTTCCTGCCTTTTGATCTCACAGGGCTTCAGTCCCAGCAACACCTCTCGGCTAACGAGCTGCTGCCAGCTGGGGGGGTCAGTTTCCAAGTCATGGTCAAACTGCTCGTCCTCACTTTGACTTTCTCCAAAAGCGATGCTGTCTAGCCTGGAACAGAAACAAGGACGGAGAGTCCCAGCCGAGGACACACGTCTCAATGGGAAACAGCAGGTCTCCACTCGTGCGTCACAGCACAGAGTCCGACAAACTGTGGACAGTGTTTCTTTAAAAAATCTCTTATTTTGCAATTACAGTTGACATACAATATTACATTAAATTCAGGTGTACAACAGTGATGAGACGTTTATGTAACTTACAAAGTGATCACCCGGATAAGCCTGTCTTACACCACAGCTATGAAAATGTTATTGGCTATATTTCCTACGCTGTACTTAATATTTCCATGACAATTTTTATAACTTAACTGCTTCCCCCTTTTCACCCATAAAAACCCTACTCTCATTGGCAACCATCTATTTGTTGTTTGACTCTAGGATTTGTTTGTTCATTTATTTTGTTTTTTAGATAAACCATATAACTGAAATCATATGGCATTTGCCTTTCTCTGACTTATTCACTTAGCTGCTAAGTGAATAATACCCTCTAGACCAGTGGTCGGCAAACTCATTAGTCAACAGAGCCAAATACCAACAGTACAACAATTGAAATTTCTTTTGAGAGCCAAATTTTTTAAACTTAAACTATATAGGTAGGTACATTGTTACTGACCTACCTATACAGTTTAAGTACTGTTGGTATTTGGCGCATATCCCGCAGCCCGTCTGCACCGTGTCTCCCGTCGGCAGACCGACCGACACCCCCCCCACTTCTTCTAACGCCACTTCTTCAAAATAGACTCGCCCAGACCAAAAACCGACTTCTGCGAGTGGGCCACGAAGTTTCATTCGCACTGTACGTGCGCGCCCGCACGTGGTATTTTGTGGAAGAGCCACACTCAAGGGGCCAAAGAGCCGCATGTGGCTCGCGACCCGCGGTTTGCCGACCACTGCTCTAGACCCATCCATGTCACAAATGTTAAGATTTCATTCATTTTATGGCTGAATATTCCATTGTATATATGTCCCGTATCTTCTCTGTCATTTGTCTACTAACGGACATTTAACTTGCATCTGTATCTTGGCTATCACATATAATGCTGTACTGAGTATAGGGGTGCATAAAGCTTTCCAAATTAGTGTTTTGAAATACCCACAAGTGAAATTGCTGGCTAATAGGGTAGCTCTATAAACTTCTGAGGAACCGCTACAATGTTTTCCATAGTGGTTATCTCTACATAAAGGTTCCCTTGCTCCACCTCCTCTCCAAAACTTATTGATAAGGCATTTTGAGGGATATGAAGTGGTGTCTCACTGTGGTTTTAATTTGCATGTCCCTGATAATTAGTGATGCTGAGCAACTTATATATTTATTGACCACTGATCTCTCCTATTTGGATAAATTTTTATTCAGGTCCTCTGCACTTTTTTAAATTGAATTGTTAGGGGTTTTTATTTTGTATTAGTATGATTTCCCTAGACATTTGGATATTAACTCCTTATCAGATATATCATTAGAGAATATTTTCTCCCATTTAGCAAGCTGTCATTTTGTTTTGTTGATGGTTCTCTTCATTGTGCAAAATCTTTTTAGTTTCATGTAGTCCCATTTGCTTATTTTTTTCTTTTGTTTCTTTCCCTTGCCTGAGAAGACATATCCAAAAACCTACAACTAGAGCAATAATTAAGAGTTTATTACCTATGATTTCTTCTAAAAGTTTTATGGTTCGGGGTCTTACTTTTAAGTCTTTAATCCACTTAGAGTTTATTCTTGTATACGGTGTAAGAAAATTATCCAGAGAGGAAAATGGCACAGTCTACAGTTACATTTATTTCTGACATTCGAGGTTGGTTCATATCAGCAAACCATTTCAGGTTTGCAACGTGTCAGGTATGTCTCAGTGCCAGACTCCCAGCCACCTCTCCCCGAGCTGCTCTTCTCCCCAGACTCCACAAGTCCGCACCTCAGTCATGGGGACCAATTGTTTTGACTTAGGTCTGAATCACATCTGACAAAAAGACGGGAACCAAGCAGAACACGAAGCTTAGGCTGACAGCTATGCTATGAGTACCCAAGTCCTGTGTTTTCCAGCAATGGTTAGACTTGAATGATGCTGACAAGATGCCCTTGGAGCCATTTCTAAGAAGCTGCATCCAAGGTTCAAAAATGAAAAAAAGAAAAGAAAATGGGGACTTTAAAAAGCAACACTTCAATTTAAACTCAAGTTGGAGAGCTGAGAGCTCCGAAGGAAGCCAGCTGCACACGCTGAGGACACTCAAGGAGCCCGATGGAGCATTCCTCCTGCTCACAGCTGGCCCGGAGCTGAGGCCTCCTGCCTACAGCCAAGAACCCCTCCTGACAGGGCAGCAGTGCATGAGAGAAGCATTTCCAATTTTGGATTCTGGTATATTTGAAATTTATTAAAGCAGATGATTGCAATCACTCAAAATATGAAAGACATTTGATAGCTAATAAAACCCTCCATAACTTAAGTTATCCAGTTCCATCCTTTTGCACATATCGCTGTTTTCCTTATACCATTTATTGAATAGACTCTCTTTACTTTATTGTAGTCTTGCCTCCTTTATTATAGATTAATTGATCGTAATAGGCATGGGTTTATTTCTAGACACTCTATTCTGTTCCACTGATCCATGTGCCTGTTTTGTTTTTTTTAATTTTTAAAAAATTGATTTTAGAGAAGGGAGAGAAAGAAACATTGATTGGTTGCCTCCCACATGCATCCCAACTGGGGATCAAACCCTCAACCTGGGTATAGCAACCTGGGTAATGTGAACTGGCTGGGAATTGAACTGGTGACTTTTCAGTGCACAGGGCAACGCCTAACCAACTGAACCACACTTGCCAGGGCGGATGTGCCTGATTTTTATGACAATATCATGCTGTTGTGGTTACTACAGCCCAGTAGAATAGTTTGGTATCAGGCAGTATAATACCTCCAACTTCATTCTTTCTCAAGTGGTTCCATATGAATTTTAAGATTATTTGTTCTAATTCTGGGAAAAATGGCACTGGTATTTTGATACTACTGCACTGAATCTGTAGATGGCTTTGGGAAGTACTAACATTTTAAAAATGCTAATTCTTCCTAGATGAGCACAGTCTACAGCAGTGACAGCGAACATTTTGAGCTTGGCGTGTCAGCATTTTGAAAAACCCTAACTTAACTCTGGTGCCGTGTCACATAGAGAAATTTTTTGATCTTTGCAACCATAGTAAAACAAAGACTTATATTTTTGATATTTATTTTATATATTTAAATGCCATTTAACAAAGAAAAATCAACCAAAAAAATGAGTTTGCGTGTCACCTCTGACATGTGTGTCATAGGTTTGCCATCACTCATCTACACTTACATTTATTTGTATAATTTTCAATTTGATTCTTCAATTTCTTAGAGTTTTCCAAGTATAGGCCTTTTACCACCTTGGTTAACTTTATTCCTAGGTATTTATGATGCAGCTGCAAATGGGATTGGTTTTTTAATTTCTCTTTAAGAAATAATTGTTATTATTGGTATAAAAAATGCAACTGGTTTTTCCTGAATATTAATTTTGTACCTTTCTATTTTATTGAATTTATTAGTTCTAATAACTTTTTGGCAGAATATTTAGGGTTCTTTATTAGCCGTGGGTTTTCATGTGTGGCCTTTGTGCTGAGGTATACCCCCTGTATCACCAACTGTCTGAGTTTTCATCTAAATCAGCGGTTCTCAACCTGTGGGTCGCGATCCCTTTGAGGGGGAGGGGGGGTCGAACAACCCTTTCACAGGGGTTGCCTAAGACCATTGGAAAACACATATATAATTACATACTGTTTTTGTGATTAATCACTATGCTTTAATTATGTTCAATTTGTAACAGTGAAATTGTCACTACAACATGAGGAACTGTATTAAAGGGTCGTGGCATCAGGAAGGTTGAGAACCACTGGCCTAGAACTTTCTTTTTTTGTAGTGTTTGTGTGGTGTTGGTATCAGGATAATCTGGCCTCATAAAATGATTTTGGGAGTCTTCCCTCTCTCCATTTTTTAAAGAATAGTTTGAGAATAAGTATTACTTTTTTGAATGTTTGGTAAAATTTTCCTGTGAATCCATCTGGTCCAGTGCTTTTGTTTATTGGGAGTTTTTTGATTACTAATTCAATTTCTTTAGTAGTTATTGGTCTGTTCATATTTGTTTTTTCAAGCTTGGAAGATTGTACATTTCTAAAAATTTATCAACTTATTCCAGGTTGTCCAATTTGTTGCAATAAATCAGTTCGTAGTATTTCTTTATAAACCTTTGAATGTCTGTGGTGTTGGTTGTCTCTTCTCTTTCACTTAATTTTATATATTTGCCTCCCCCATTTTTGTTATTGTTGATGAGTCTAGCTAAGGGTGTATCAACTTTATCTCTTTAAAGAACTAGGTCATGGTTTCATTGATCATTTCTTTTCCTTTTAAAAAGAACTCTTATTTCATTTATTTCAGCTCTGATCTTTATTTTTCCACCCTTCTCCTCACAATGGGGTTTGAGGTTTTTGTTCCTCAAGGTAGGCCCGTTTCGCTACATTTCCCATCGGAACTGGAACTGCGTTGCTTGTGCCCCATCGATGTTGGTAACTGTGTTTTCATTTTCATTTGTCTCAAGGTATCTTTTCATTTATCCCTTGATCTTGTTAATCCATTCACTGTTTAGTAGCACGTTAATCAGCCTCCATCCTTGTGTTTTCATGTTTTCCTTATTATTTCTAGTTTTGTGCTATTATCTTCGCAGAAGATGGTTGTTTCCTTTGTAAATTTACTGAGACTTGTTTTGTGACCTAACATGTAGTTTGTCCTGGAAAATGTTCCATACGCACTTGGGAAGAATGTATTTTCTATTCCATGCATTCATGTCTCTGGACCTATGTAACAAACTGACATATCTCAGAGAAGAGGGGGTTGGGAGGAACAGAAAGAACATATATGCAGAGCCCATGTACACAGACAATAGTGTGCTGAAGGCATGGGGTGGGGATGGGGCTGCGTGGAGGGAGGCATAGGGGTGAGGGTGAATGGAGGGGCATCTGTAATACTGTCAACAATAAAAAAGTAGAACAAGCCCTGACTGGTTTGGCTCAGTGGATAGAGCGTTGGCCTGAGGACTCAAGGGTCCCAGGTTCGGTTCCGGTCAAGGGCATATACCTTGGTTGCGGGCACATCCCCAGTGGGGGGTGTGCAGGAGGCAGCGGATCAATGTTTCTCTCTCATCGATGTTTCTAACTCTCTATCCCTTTCCCTTCCTCTCTGTAAAAAAATCAATAAAATATATATTAAAAAAAAGTAGAACGAAACCGAACAGAGTGAATATTCTGCTGCTTTGTATAACAATGTTACAGGTGTCATCAAGTCCATCCATCTAGTGTGTCATTTGAGGCCATTGTTTTCCTTACTGACTTACTCTCTGGGTTCTCTATCCATCAATGGAAACGGGTGTTAAGCTCCCTACTGTGACTGCCTTGCTACCAACCTCTCTGCACCTCTCCATCATCCTGTTTTATAGAGATACCCCTATATGGGTATGTAGGAGCTTATAGGAGCTGTGCTCTTGTGTGGGACTGATCCCTTTATCATTACAAAATGCCCTCTGTCTTTTGTTACTTGCTTTAAATTCTATGTCCTCTAAGTATTGCTAGACCAGCTTCCCCCCCTCCCTCCCCTCTTTGCAGGGAATGCCTTTTCCCCATCCCTTTGCTTTCATTGTGTGTCTGGATCTGACATGGGTCTAGAGGCAGTATATGCACCACTGGTGTTTTTTTAGCCATCCATTCATCTACCCCACGTGCTTTGCTTGGAGCATTTACTACATTTACGTTTACAGTAATTATTGATAGGTATGCAGTTGTTATCATTTTATTAATGGTTTTCTGACTAGTTTTGTAGTTCTGCTCCTTTCTCATTCTCTTGCTCACTTCTCTTCTATGTCTCCTCTGTGGGTTGTGTGGGCCTCCTGTTGTGGTTGAGCCTCGACTGCTGCTGGCACCTCAGTGGGTAGGACTGCCCACAGGCTGAGTGGGTGAGGGCTGGCTGTGACTCTCAGACCAGCTGCGTGTGAGGGCAGGGCTGAGTCCACCCTTCCAATCTGTCATCTGTGGGCCTGTGGGTATTGCCCTGGTGTGTTCTGGCCCCGGCCCTGGTGCTGGCTCTGGAGCCTCTTGTGTGGGCTCAGGCCGCTGCTGTTACGCTGGAGCGGGAGGCACCTGGAAGAGATCACTCTGCGAGGCGGCTGTCAACAGCGCCGGCGTGAGACCTCGTGGAGGGTGTCATGACGGGAGCCGAGGCCAGCGGCCCCTGTGCCAGGCTTGTGACTCCACTGAAGCTCCTTTCCAAGCCAACACTGGCCACAGCTTATGCCAGGCTCGGGGCTGCCTGATCAGTGCAAACTGAGGCTGGTGCTGGTTGCATTTGGAGCCACTGAGAAAGTTGGATGGGGCATGCCGTAGCCAGCGCCTGCTTGTTCAGGGTTTAGAGACCCTTGAGAGATTTTAGGAAAATCCGCAGCAGGAGCTGAGGCAGGCCACTTGTGTGGAAATGCCGCTGGAAATGGCTCGGGCCGGCAGTGAAAGTTGGGTGGGGAGTGTCGGAGTGAGCCTGGCCGTAGGAGCAGTGCTAGCCACGCTCATGGAGCACAGATTGGGAGCCACCCTGAGCCTCCAGGTGGGCGGGGGAGGGGCAACGGGCACAGCGGGGCCTACCAGCACTTCTGTGCCCAGAGAGTGTTGTTCTGATGGCTGTCCTTCAGCTTGCAACCCGCACCTACTCAATGTAGTTCCTCCTCCATGCCCCTGGCACCTCCCGCTCTGTTCTAGCGCTGGAGCCCGGAGCGAGCGAGCTCCTGTGTGAGCCAGCACCTGGGCCCCCAAAGGAACAGCTGGGGCACTGCAGCCCCTGCCTCGCTCAGAGGCAGTCTCCGCTGGTTTCAGAGCCCGATGTGGGGGCTCCTCTTTCCAACACTGGAGGCCCAGGCGGAAAGCCCAGGCTGGTCTTAGAACCCTCGTTCCTCAGTGGGATCTCCACAACTGAGATGGCCCTCTTATTCTTAACCACCACACGTGGGTGCGGGACCACCCACTCCACAACCGTCAGTCTCAACAGGGCTTCTCCCTATTCTCCTTAGAGCTCCTCTAATCCAGCTGGCCTCCCGACGGTCCTCAGTGAGAGCTGCTCCGTTGTGATCTGCTGTGGTCATGGGAGGAGGTAAAGCAGCGTTTATCTACTCCACCATCTTGGCCAGAATACCCGAGTCTCTTCCTTTAATATAGGTGTTAGGGCAAGAAAATATATTTCTTAAAGTATGCCCTACTAAAAGCTGCTGTAGGATTACTTACTTTCGAAAGGGCTTTGGTGTCCCATGTTCAGTCATCCTAAAACAATGGGAAAAAAGAGGCAACAAAAAACCAAAATGTTAATTAAGAAATGTTTGTCCAAGTGTTCACAACTGGGTAAAACCACCGCGGCTGATAAATAATTCTTCTCGGTATTTTAAGATTAATACCAAATAAATTGAAAAGCATTCAATATCTATCTAATATTTACTACCAATGTAAGTTCTCGTTTCTTCCCAAAACACACATGTGGGAAAAACGGTAAATACAGGGATATTACTGAATCACCTTTCTGCTTCCCATTCCTCCTCTTGCACCTGGTCCAGGGGAGGTGGCAGAAACTCCAGGGCAGCACTGGAAGCATGAGGGGGGGCGTCTATAAGGTCTGCAGATGCTGGGGATTCTGCAACCGGCTTCGATCCTGAAGAGACAAATGGCACACGTTCGATTCGTGCCACATACGTATAATATCATGCACTTATTCAGCTGATGACAACAAAATAAATGTGTTAGTTTCAAAAGAGCTTCAACCTAATCCACAGTCACATTCATATTTAAACAACTGTGTGTTAGCTAGAATCAAAATTCTAGTACGTAACATTTTAAAATACACTAAAAACTAAATAGAAAATCATTTTTAAACAGCTTTTAAGTGTCAACATAAAACATGGCAACAACGCAGAAGAGCATATAAGAGAAAAACATTCTCACCTATCCTTTCCTACCCTAAATCTTTTTCATTCACATTTCAGATATTGTGGTGATCCAAAAAATAGCTTCATACTTTTTTATTATCTTTAGGTAATATCCTTCCTGCCTTCAATTTCCCTCCATTTCTTCCCAATGTTTGATAATTAAATTATTATTAATTGGGTTTTGGTTATTACTTAAGTGTCAACAATATCATTATTTATATACTAGAGGCCCTGTGCACAAATTCATGCACCAGCGGGGTCCCTCGGCCTGGCCTGTGGGATCGGGCCGAAACCAACTTTCTGACATCCCCTGAGGGGTCCCGGATTGCGAGAAGGCCAAGGGACCCCACCGGTGCACGACTGGGGCTGGGGAGGAATGTGGGAGGTTGGCCGGCTGGGGAGGGACCTCGGGAGGACTCCAGGGCGTGTCCGGCCTGTCTCGCTCAGTCCCAATCGGCTGGACCCCAGCAGCAAGCTCACCAACCAGTCAGAGCGTCTGCCCCCAGGTGGTCAGTGCAGGTCAGAGTGAGTAGTTGAGCGGCCTTAGCATATCATTAGCATATTACACTTTGATTGGTTAAACGGCCGACCAGCCACTTAGCATATTAGGCTTTTATTATATAGGATATATATTAGAGGCCCGGTACACGAAACTCATGGCTGGTGATCAGGCCCAATCAGGTTCCCCACCTCCCCGCCTCCTGCTTCCCTTACCGCCCATGCGCTGCCACCACGTGGTTCCCGCCTCCTCCTTTCCTCACTCCCTCAGCGCCCACCTCTGCTGCTGGTCACCTGCCATGTTCTGCGCCACCCCCTGGTGGAAAGCACACATCATAGCAAGTGATCGAACTCACAGTCTCCCGGCCAAATTCCGAGGGGACAATTTGCATATTACCCTTTTATTATATAGAAGAATGTAAAAGTCTGAGCGGCCATCTGACTGGTAGCTATGACGCGCACTGACCAAGAGGGGGCAGACCTCAGCACAGGAGTGGAAACTTACAGGTGTGTAAACATGGAACAGACTGATGAATCTCAGAGGGAAGGGGTAGGGCGGAAAAAATAGATTAACCAAAGATCTTAGATGCATACTAGAGGCCCGGTGCATGGATTTGAGTAAAATGAGAGTAATATTAAGAAAGAAAATGTCATGAGATACAGGAAAAAATGGAAACCCAGGAAAGTGGAGAAGGGCAGTCCTAGGATGATGACTGTCACAGGCTCAGGGCAGCAGCTCCCAAAAACACAACAGCATGCAGGACAAGCATGGGGTTGAGGCAGGTGTGTGCATACTGCTATATCATGTAGATGAAAAAAACAGACTTGATAAAATTCTATATCCTTTATAATAAAAGGCTAATATGCAAATAGGCCAAACAGCAGAACAACTGGAACCAAACAACTGGTCACTATGAGATGTGCTGACCACCATGGGGCGTGCACGGAACATGGTGGGCATCGGCCACGGCGGAATGGCGGAGCAGGTGAGCCGTGGTGCCATACCAAGGCAGGGTGCCAGTCACTGTCATCGGGGAGAGCCTCTGGTGGTTACTGAAAATTCTTTATTCCCATACACCACAGTTGTGCCCAGCGCTCAAACCTGCTGCGGGCGCGGGCTCCCCTCTCACCTGCTGCCGGCACCGAGGCTGCCACTCCCACCGTCAGCGCCCAGCACCGGTCCCAATGGCTTGGTACCATCAGTGCGTGCGAGCGGCAGCTGCCGGGGCACCCCTGAGGGCTTCTCCACCTCCCCCTGCTCCTGATGGGAGATAGGGGCTGGCAGCCACCTCTTGCACCCGCTGCCAGCAACGGCCTCGTTTGCACCCGCTACTGGAGCCGCCACTCACATCCACTGCCAGTGCTGGCCCAGCTTGCAGCCGCTGCCCAGCACCGGTCCTGATTGCTCGGCGCCATCAGCGGGTGCAAGTGGCAGCTGCTGGCTGATCACCCCTGAGGGCTTCTCCACTCTACCTGCTCCTGAGGGGTGATCAGGGCAGCAGCAGCTGCTCACACCCACTGCTGGCACCGGTCCCAATAACTTTGCACCTTCAGCAGGTACGGTACAAGTGGGGCCGGCACTGTCAGTGTGTGGGAGCAGCGGTGGCAGGAGCAGGGCTGCTGGCAGACAGGGAACCGGGGACAGGAGCTGTGGTGGGAGGGCTGGGGGGGTGCAGAGGATGAGCCGAGACCTGCCCCTGTGCCCACTGCAGCCTCGCGGCCCCAGTTCCTTTCAAGGTGCACAAATTTGTGCACTGGGTCCCTAGTATATATGTGAGCTTAAGCGACCAGCCGACCAGACGCCCTCTCGCAATCTGGGACCCTTCAGAGGATGTCGGAGAGCTGGTTTTGGCCTGATCCCCACAGGCCAGGCTGAGGGACCCTTACTGGTGCATGAATTCGTGCACTGGGCCTCTAGTATCTATATATTTGTTCCTTCAAGAAATTAGTATCTTCTTGTTGTTGTTAATCCTCACCTGAGGATATTTTCTCCATCGTTCTTCAGAGAGAGTGGAAGGGAGGTGAAGAGAGAGAGACATCGATGTGAGAAAAACACATCAACTGGTTGCCTCCCACATGCACACCAACTGGGGGCAGGGAGGCAACCGCAACCCAGGTAGGTGTCTTTGTTCAGGAATTGATCCTGCAACCCTTTGGTGCTCGGGCTGGCACTCTAACCACTGAGCAACACCAGCCAGGGCAAGAAGTTAGTACGTTAACTCTCTTCTATGTCAGATTAGGTATTTAGTGTACATTTCCTTTCTTCTACCTTCATTTCTTTCAACTACAATTTCACTCATATGATTAATAGGATTTTTTTACATTTCCATCCTGATCTGTAGCCACAACGAAATATTCTGTGCTTTGCCTAAGAGACTAATTCTGAAAGTCTAAAAACCAATATAGTGCCTACATTATTATAACAATATATACATATTGTCATATACAATATATAACATACATATACATACTATTCCTGCCAGGTTAAAAGGTATGTTAATTAGGATTATATGTTCTTTTCTAATGGTCTGATAATGTAATTCCTGGGCCATTTGAAATAAAATGTTTATTATATTAAAGTATTATACTCATCAATTAAGATCATACCACTTTTTATTTTGCTTCATGTTTAAAATCGTGACAACTTTCTGAACTGTTTTTCTAAATGCTTTTCTATTATTACTGTCAAAATAGAATTTTATCAACTCTCAAATGTTTTCACCTGCTGCATGGCATAGCAGTGTGTGCACACCTGCTTTGACCCCTGCTTGTCCTGCACGCTCTTGTGTTCGTTGGCAGCCACTGCCCTGGGCCTGACAGCCATCATCCTAGGACGACCCTTCTCCACTTTCCTGAGCTGCTGCCATGTTTTCCTGGGTCTCATTACATTTTCTTAACATTACTCTCCTTTTGCTACAATGGTCTCTTAAAATAATCTTCGAGTGAAAGGCACGTCTCAGTGAAACTCTTAACCCTGGAGCATCTGGAATGTCCTCCTCATCTTCTTTGTGCTTTAGGGACGGTCGGAATGCAGGCTTCTACTCCAATGCCCCTTCCTTCCGGAAGCTGCAGACATGTTCTGTGTTCAAGCACCCATTGTCCTATGGCACGTGTGATGCTGTGTGATCCCTGCCTCTTTCTCTTAAGAGTTTTGAGGGTTCTTTTTCCTTCTCTCTGGGGCACTGAAATTTCCGTAAGTTTTAGGTATATGGATCTTTTCTTTTTATTATTATTCACTGAAGTTGGTTCCAAATGAGCTCTATTTGGCCCAGCCAGTGTGCCTCAGTGGTTGGGCATTGATCTATGAACCAGGAGGTCACAATTCGATTCCCAGTCAGGGCACAGGCCCAGGTTGTGGGCTCCATCCCCAGTGTGGGGCGTGCAGGAGGCGGCCGGTCAGTGATTCTCCCTCTCCCTCCACTCTGACTTCAGTGAAAACGTCTGTTTTTAAAGAGGGAGCTCTAGCGGAAATGTCTGTTCTTTTTCAGCTCTAGGAAGCTTTCCTGTCATCTGTCTCTTCTCCATTTTCTCTGCTGACATTTTGTGAAAGAGCCCTCTGCACTGGCTGTTCTCTACGTAATTCTTACCTCTTTAATTTCTGTATCTTGCTATATATTCTGAAATGTCTCCTTGACTTTATTTTAGGAACTGAAAATACATATTGGCAGTTAAAAATATGTCCACAAGTTCTTTGACACTCCCCTCCTCAGGGGTAAAGCCTCCATTTTTCTGTCCTTGAGTGTGGACCAGACTTATGACTTCCTTCCACCTGCTGAGGTGGCAGCGGGAGCCCACGAGACGGAAGCACTGGGAGCGCAGGGGCTTTTTCTCCCGAAGCCCCCGGGGAGGCCAGCTCCCATGCTCGGCACACTCTGCAGGCCGACGCGGAGCCCAGACGGAGGCTTCCAGCAGGAGCAGACCTTCCTGTCCCCGCCTCTGGCATGAGCAGAAGGTCTCCCACCCCAGCTAAGCTGACGCCTCCACTGCAACCTCTGAGCCCATCCAGACCCGCCCAGCACATCAGCCCCTCCACCTCACCCACCAAGAAAGTGACACCATAAATGTTTTCTGTGTTAAATCATTAAGTTTTGGTGTAATTTATCACACAACCATTAATAAATAACTATTGTACTATATGTAGTAGTTATATTAAGACTTTTTGTGGTCTCTGAATGCTCCTTTTCATAGCAGCCTATTTTGGTTTTACAGATATAAGTGAAACCTTGCTTCTTGCACTTAATTTGTTCCAGAGGCTGTTTGAGAAGCGATTTGTTCAAAAACCGAATCAGCAGCAACACAAGCAAAAAGACATGAAAATATTCACAGCACAATTTCCCCGAGATGTTAACAACGCAAGGTATAGCAGTGAACTGACTCACTCACGCATTCTCCTTGCTTGTCCTGAGACATGCGTGACTAATTATACAGGCATCAGCATGAAAGGGCTGTTAGGTTGAGAACCAAAGTTTTGCTCAACAACCACCAAGACATTTTTTTCTCTGAACAACTTGGTCAAGAACTAAATTGTTCAAGAATTTTCCCCATTTATGCTACTTTAAAATGCATTTTTTTCAACCTCAAAACCATGAATATTAGAAAATTTTTAAATAGCTTATAAGTAATTTATAGAACCACATCCTATATAAGTAAAAGCCTAATATGCAAATTGTCCCCTCGACCAGGAGTTTGACTGCTCACTACGATGTGTGCTGACCACCAGGAGGCGGCTCGGAACATGGCGGGCATAGGCAACACGGCACTGGCAGTGGGCGGCAGTGGAGGCGCTGCCGGCCCCAATGAGAGTGGGACCTCGGTGGGACGGTGGAGGTGAGCGGGCAGCACCAGGCCAAGGCGAGTGCAAGCGCGGGCCCCGACTGTCCCATAGACGGTGACCAGCAGCCCCGCTCCCCACCTGGCTCCTAGGCACTAAGGGAGCCGGGCGAGGGGCCCAGCCTTGATCGATCACCCCACAGGCAGGATGGTGGAGCTGGTGAGGGGGTGGAGCCAGGCCAAGGTGGGATGTCAGGCAGGGCCTCAGGGCCGCGAGGCTGGGGGCGCGAGCTGGGGAACCCCACCCATGCACGAATTTGTGCACTGGGCCTCTAGTGTACATCATAAAAGAAATTCTCATTATTTAGACCTGACTGGCAACAAAAGTACTAAATATCCAAAAAAAAGAAGTATTTTAATTGTAAAAGTGGTCAAATGTATGAAGGAGACTTGACTTTGGGTGGCAAACAATGTGATATATTAATGATGTATGATGGGATTGTAGACCTGAAACCTGTAGAATTTCATTAACCAATGTCACCCCAATCAATTCAATTAAAAATAAGCATCTTCATTGGAAAACTAATAAAAATCAGAATATTTTAAAATGGAAAAAAAAGTGATTTTTTCAACTTCTTATCTATTATCAAAATCATTGTCTCCTGGTAGAGGAGTGTTTCTGCGCAGTAGGCCTGTTGCACGCCACTGTCTCGCATGCTTGGCACTGTGTGTTATCTTAGGCCTCGACTCCGAGAAGCACACTTTGCCGAGTGAGTGATGCTACTCCTATTTAAGAACACAAGGCCTGGCCAGTGCCTGGCTTACTTGGGGCTCCAGAAAGGAGACCCATTCCCGCGGGGTGTCCTCTGAGGGGGGGGGGGGGGTGTCCCTAGCACGCCCACTGTCAGGCTTCAGGGTCCCAAACATTAGCGCTCCGGGACAATCATGCTGTGGAGAACTTGACTCTCCCAACACAAGTCATTTGACTTCCCTGTAACAGGGCCCCTTGCTTCCCCTGGCACATAAAGGACAGACTGCCCACAGCCTGCAGTGCAAGGAGCAGAAGCTGCTGACATGACTGCGCTGATTAGGCTTTTGGTTCCGCCATTTGCAGCTCTGCCTCCTGTGGACGCACCCCACAGCCAGCCTGGCCTGCGGGCTCTCGTGGGCACGGGCCGCAGTGGGCTCCTTCACCAAGTATGGGCTTCAGTTTCCTTTATGCTGTTACATCCACCAACCACTACTGTCCTTGTTCAATCTCCCAAAAATGTGCTGACATTTCTTATTTGTTGATGACATCTTATGTTCGTCTACCTCCTTTTTCTTTGTTTTCTCTGTTGCCTACCGTGCTTGTATCTCACTGGGACACGGAGCCGTGAGCGAGTGCATGTATCTACTCCACCACCTTCAGAGTGCTGTGTCAGACAGTCTCCAGACTCTTCTCCAAATGTCGCTCCTACTTCTTGGTCTTAAATAAAAATCTGCCTATCCCATGGGGAGGCAACCTTTCCTGCGACCACCCTCTCCCGTGGAGACTTGCATCTGTCACACACTGTGCTCAGCGGGTGGGTGACATGGATTCCTTCTGCAGTACATTCTTCAGCCCACTGTCTTGCTTCCTCCCTCCCTGGACACTGCCACCTGTCCTCCTCCTCACAGTAGTCACCTAGTAACACCACCTGTGGCTGCGGCCTCAGTTCTCCTCTTACTCCGATGTCACACGGCCTCAAAGCCCACGTGCCTGTTAAGCTGTTCGAACTCCTGTCTCCCTCCTCCACGCCACCTCAGTGACCACTCCCCCCGCTCTAGCCTTCACCTCGCATCACCAAACACCGACTGCCTCCCAGATCACTAACACAGGCACTGCCTCCTCCAGACAAAACCACCTCTTCTCCCTGCTCACGTGCCTAAGAAAACCACGACGACAAGTACTGCTTGAGAACATGGTAATAAGCTCTTCCACAATTTCTGCGATGACTTCCTGTCTGTCTTCACTCTTTAAATTCCCTCTTCACTGAGGTCATTACTCTGAGGCAATAACATTGCCTTTCATCTCCTCCCTCCTTCTCAAAACTTTGTTCCATTGGCTACAGTTTATCCCTGTGTCCCCAGCCTCTTCCTGACCGCTGGCTTCCCCTAGCAGTGACACGCCTCCCTAGTTTCTCTAATTGCAAGTTTTCCTCAGACCTCCCCCATCTGCCCTGAGCCATGACAGGCCCCCACACTCCCTTACCTCTCTCTCCTCTAGGGAGTTAGCGCAACTGCATTTGTGTGTGTAGGACTCTCTCTCCATGAGACTAAGCTCTGTGGGGCAGAATCTATGTATAATTATTGTGCGCTAACGTCTGGCAGGAAGCTAATGCCTAATAGAAAGCTTAGTAATAGTTTCTGAATGGATGAGAACTTGAAAATCATCATTCAGCATAGATCTGTCACTAGTTGTCAAATATTAAAATATTAAAACTAAATTTAACTGGGATTCAGTCTTGATTAAAATAACCTGCCACACCGTTTCTTAGTTAGTATGATTGTTTTAAAGTCTAGACACTTAGTTAAGCTGAACTACAGCTCACCCGTATCATTCTCTTTCCCTCCGTCCTGGGAGAGAGTGGCCACTGAAGCCACCGAGGACACGGAGCCGGCGGGCAGGCACCCAGCGTCGGCTCCGTCACTTGCTGGCCCGCTCTGGCGTGACTTAGCAGCATCCTGGGGCTCGGGACTCACAGGTGGGGGTGGGGGTGAGTGCTTAGGGTGGCGCGGCTTCTGTAGCTCCATGGCTCTGCCAACTGAACAGAAAGAAATGGTCAACAATTTGTGTTTCAAAGCAGCTAAAAGAACGATGATGTCAAAGGTCTGGAAAAATGTCTAAAACATGGTAGGCCCTAGAACACTAGGCCAATCATTACACAGAGTGAGAAAGGAAGGGAAATGAGCGGAAGGGGGAGGGAGAAGACGACGGAAGAGGGCTGAAAGGACGAGAGGGAGATGGTGCAGCGTGAGGGGGAGACAGGAGGTGACAAAGATGAGCAAGAGAAAAGGGAAGGGCGCCATGGTGGGAGGGGAGCGGGGTGCTGAGGCAGGCAGGTCCGTAGGGAGCATACTTGCTGGTACCAGTGAAGAGAAAGCCTTTGAGCTCTATGAGCTCTAGAAGCTCCCCATTCTCCCCAATCCTCGTCACTTCCTCACAACGTGCCCTGGTCCACCCGGGTACCCCTCCTGCTCCTGTCAGTCACCCACACGAAGCTCGCCCGAGGGCACCCTCCTTGCAGCACTGCGCACCCTCACGGACTTCACACATCACGGCTCCAATGTTCTCCCGCATTCCAGAGGCTCTTCTCGTCTCCTGGGAACTTGTGGTCAGCATCTGGAAACACTCCCTCTCCTCAACTTCTCTAAGTTCCCGTCCCCTTCCCAGTGTTTCTCCAGGGGCGCCCATGGCCCTGAGGGGGAGTGCTCCCTCACCTCTCCTCTAGGGACTTAGCACAACTTGAATTTGTGTGTGTAGGACTCTCTCCCCATGAAACTAAGCTCTGTGGGGCAGAATCTATGTATAATTATTGTGCGCTAACGTCTGGCAGGAAGCTAATACCTAATAGAAAGCTCAGTAATAGTTTCTGAATGGACTCATCGTGTAGGACAGTTAGCGTCACTTGGTCCCAACCCGTCCCCATGCCCCCCTGCCAGTGTGCCCAGATGCAGCCCTGGACCCCACAGGCCTCGGGTCTTCCCACAGCTCCACGACTCCACTTCCTCCTCAGCCCTCTCCAGGGCTGATCTCTCCCCTGGGCCTGACGGTGGAGAGGTGAAAGTGTGAGGAATCTATGTATAAGAGGACTGAACAAAGTACGGTGGAGAGACCCATGCCCATTTTCTGTGTTTTTAATTTTTAACTTTAATGATCGGAACTTGAATACAAACAAAATTAGAACAGGTGGATAAATTATATTATGGATAATGAATGAGATGCTCTGCTACCATCACAGGAGAGGTTTATAACAATTATGTAGCCAGATGGGGGAATTTAGTGCAGATAGAACACTGAATGGAAGCAGGCACATTGCAAGTTCAGAGGAATCATGTCAAGAACACCCTTCTCCAGCAATCCATTCTAGCTCAATGAGCATGTTAAAGGTGGCATGGGACAGCAGAATACAGCATTTTAAACTTCAACATACTCGCACTGTTGTCAGGACGGCTGGGCCTCCGCGGGGGCCCCAGGATGCTGGAGAGTCCCCTTCGCTTCCCCTTTTCGTCGCCTTCCCTCTCTTTCTTCATACTTTGCTGGAGTTAAGGTAAATCGAAGAGATAAGAGATACGTAACAGAGTGGGTTTCTTTTGTTGCTTTCAAACATAGAAATGCAATTCCAATGGTCATTTGAAGGAAATTGGTTAAATGTAAATGAAACACACACATACACACACACACGCATGATACGCATTAGAAACTGGCACACAGTACTGCGTATAGATCAAACTTAAGATACTGGGAGAGGTGGAGGAGTGTATATGAGAGATAAATACTGATGGAAGGAGACCTGACGCACAATACAGTGTACAGATCATGCATTATAAAGTTGTACGCTTGAAACCTGTATAATTTTATTAACCAATGTCACCCCAGTAAATTCAATAAAAAACTCAAGACATTTCTCAAACTCTTTCGAGTTGATAATTTTGGAAAATAAAAGGATAGTTTTATAACACATTTCCTGGGAGCTTGTTCTAAATGGTTCATTTATCCATTGAGCAAACATTTACTTACTAAGCTCCTAAGATGTGAGCACACTATGCTAAAAGCTGGAGGGCCAATGATGGAGCTCCTTGCCCTCACAGAGCTTCACTATCAAATAAAAGTTAAACAAAAACACAAATCCTTACCAACTATGACAGGCACCGCAAAGAAAAGGCTAAGCTGGGGATGGGACCCTGTGTAAGTTGCTGTTTTCCACTTTTCATACTTCCCAGTAATTAGCTCATGTCCCTGCGCTCTCACTAGATTTGAGTTTCCGACAACAGGAGCCGCATCGTGTCCAATAAGTGTCCTGCGCTGAGTCGCTGGAAAAGTGAACACTAAGCAGGAACGCACCGCGCCGCACGTGGCGCCCGCCTCACCTTGATCTTTGGAAGGAACCCGATCCGGCCCCGCTTCTGCTCCAGACTCCGGGGCTCCTTCACTCTCACGCCCAGGTGCTTCATGTACATGAGGATGACGTACTGCGCTGCGGAACTGCAGGAGAACAGAGGCGTGAGATAAGCTTCTGAAAAGGGGGCGGGGAAAACAGAGAGAGCAACTGACTTCCCAAACCTCAGGGACAGAACTCTTAGAATTCATCCACCACATGGAACATAAGGAGTTACCAGGACAGGATTCTATCTCAAGACACTAGAATATTAGTCAAATAAAATATAGGCCATCAGAGGGAGACGGTCTGCATTTTTTAAGTTAAAAGAAATAAAATATAATTCATGACTGACAAAAGAAGAGAGTTTATTTTTATTTCCTTAAAATTCTAGAATAAAAGTTGCATTACCTCTTATCTTCTTCTATAGCCTGAGCAGTCATCCTAAAAATAAAAACATTTACAAATGAAATATTAAAGCTTAAGAAAAGCACTGCTATTATACCCAGATGCCCGAGCCAGCAGCACAGAGCCACAGGGACTATAATGCTAAGAAAACCCCCTGTCCCCAGAGGAGCTGCATGCTTCTCACTCATGTACTGTCATCAACTACAAACGTTTTGTAGCAAGAAATGTTATTTCCAAACCTCTGAACTTAAACCAATAAAAGCATTTAACCTGGTCTTCATCAGCTAGAAATTTTGTAGTTACTCATTTTGCTAATACCTAGAAAAAGAAACTCAAGAACTTTATTTAAAATAAATATCAGCAAAAATAATAAAATAATAAGATAAAATATCAGCAAAAAAAGTAAGTAAAACATTCAGTTTATCAAGCACCGTGACAAAGTAAGTAGCCCCGCCCACCTAGCCTGGCCCTCTTCTGGACATGCTCAGAGTGCACCGTCTTTCAGCAGAATAAAGGGAATTTCGACATCATGTCTGTGACTTACAACACTTCTTCAATTTTGGCAACAATCTGCTCTGCGCATGCCCGCTCCTTCTCCAAGGTGACCCGGTCCTTGTCTCTCTCGACGTCAAGTTTGGTCAGTTCACTTTCAGCCAAGGTCAGCCCCATGCTCCTTTTCTGCCTAAAGGGAATAGGAGGCCTGGCCTGAAGTGGCTCAGAGGAAAGTATCTCCCTCATCAGGTTCCATAGCCACGAGTTTCCAGCAACAGGCACAAGGCCCCGGCTTTCATGCCAGCACACCATGTCCGCTAGGACAACAGAGGAAAACATTCCAGAGGCAGCCAGCCACTCAACAGAGCACAGACCCTGAAGGAACACACTCAGCGCCGACAAACGGGGAAGTCACATGGGGTGGGAACTATGAACTCTCAATATCCAAACACTTTGACTCCAGATGCTCATTATGCTTTAGTAACAGAGATAGAGACCAGATGCTAAGCCGAGGATTTAATGCATAACCTACCAGTTCTGTCTCTACCCCCCAGCTTACCGGAAATCCTCCAAGTGCCTCTGGATCTCGGGGTGCACCCGCTCCTGCATAGTGTGGATATAGTGGCGATGGAGATCCTCAGGAATAAGCTCAGGTCTTCTTTTTTCTGAAAAGAGGCAAAGGGAAAGGATTACTTCGTCTACAGGAATAATCTGTGCATTATCACTGGCAACGCACCAATGCAACTGGTGCAAACTTATCCCAGAGAAAGACAAAGAGTTCTTCAACTTCACTCATGTATTTCATCTCATAATTCACATTTCATTTACCCTTTAATGCGGACGACCTACTAGTCACCACATGACACATAACACCTTTAGGAATGAGCTGAGTTACATAACTACAGAGATACAATTCTCCAGGATATTGGTGCTCCAAACTTACCTAGATCTACTGATATTTCATCAGGAACAGAAACTTTCAAGTGCTAAAACAAAAATGCAAAGAAAAAGTGAGACAGCACTAAGGGCTTTTCAAGATGCATACAGTGCCTGTATAAAGTAAATTAACAGAGCCTGGACACCTATTGTCACAAGCACCTTCATGCATAAGCTCATTTCCTGTGTTCCCCCATCCAGTGTCACAGCTCTCGTGTGTTCTATTGTTTAACCTGGAAAAGAAGCCCTTTCCACAGATCATGCTATAAAGGAATTACCTACAATATTTACTAAGTGACTAAATGCTTCTGTGCCTTACTTATTCTTTCTGGAATGAATGAATACTGACTTTGGTTTTCTAGAATCTGGTTACTCTACTTCATTTGAATTAATATAGGTAAAAACTAAACTATGTGTATATATTATTATATGGAAGATTTACTCATATATAACTACTAGAGGCCCAATGCACGAAATTTGTGCAAGAGGAGGCCTTTCTTCCTCCAGCCACCGGCAGGCACCCAGGACCCAGGCTTCCCTCACAGCCCCGGCTTCGTCCAGAAGGTCGTCTGGAAGAATGTTCGGAAGGACGTCCAGTCTAATTAGCATATTACACTTTTATTATTATAATTTTTATTTACTGTATTTGAGATACTCCCACTACAGACCATGACATTTCCAGTCCCTTTCCTTAAAGAACCCTCACAATAGTCACACCCCCAATGAGAGAGTTAGTGGATGTCATTTCAGAGGATTTGGAGTCTTAAATATCCAGTGACCATCTGTAGCATTTACACTACTGAACTAATTAAAGTAGCCGTGTTTTAGTTCTGTATAGCTAGGACTTCCCCCATAATAACTGCAGTTTCTGGTCCCACTATTAATTTAGAAATGTGTTTTCCTTCCCATCAATTTGGAAAATATCTTAAAAATAAATTGTTTTTGCAGTTACAGTAAGTATCGTGACCTCTGTATACTGACTCTGTATTGTACACCTACTTAAGTCATACACTTTCAGAATGGAAACAATTCCTATAAGATCTGAAGTTTTATATTTGAAAATAAGTCACTGTTAAAGATTATGAGGATCGCTAATATTCATTTGAAGGACAGGGAAGTGATTTCAAAGCTTTTTCTTTAACTGATGTTGCCATGCTGCAACTCAAATCAGCTTTCCTAAAAGTATTTCTAGCACAAATGCAAAAAAGTAAATAAATGCTCATTTATGTATGTGGGTATTTACATGAAAAAAAATATCACCTGTGTGTCAAAAATAATTAGCAAATTAATCAAGGTTCTTACATTTTAATGTTAATAAACTTATATAGATCAGTAGCAAGATATAAAGTTTTAACTTAGCACGGAGTTCTATATGTGAAATTCAAATACACTTCAATATGCTGTCATTTCTTAAAAAATATGATGTGTAATATATTAAACAATGGCAGTAAAATCAGAAGCCTAACATTCATTCAAAAAATATCTGAGTGGCCACTCTGTGCTGCGATCTATTAATATCGGGAGAACAGCAGATAACAGACAGGATAAAAACCTCTGCCCTGATGAAGCTTACATTCAGGGTAGAGGAGGAGTACAAACAAACAAAATAAGTGAATAAAATATAAGTTCTATGGACAAAAATAACAGGAGAGACAGCAGCATAAAGTGAAAGGGGTTACATTTTAAGTGGGTTGGTCAGGGAAGGCCTTCCTGAGAGGTGATTATATTCAGCAGTGTGCAGGCAACTGTAAAGAGCAGAGAAAGGGGAGCTGGAGAAAGGAGAGGCCCAAAGTTTCTGTGCGTGTTTACTGCTTTACGGTCTGCAACTGACGTAAATGGCTCAACAGAAAACAAGAACTGGTGGTGCAGGCAGAAAGCGCTGCGGCTGCAGCAGCGTCTGTGCGTGAAGCAGTGCACACGGCCTGCCGGAGCAGAGGATGTCTCTGCAGACGACTTCACATTTCTCAGGCAAACAGCCAGGTCATCAGCTGAGCAAAGGACAGGAGAGGAAGTGATAGTTTTAGGAGAAAGAAAGTATAAAACAATCATATGAGAGAACTGCAAATATGAAAGAACGAGGGACATAGAGTAATTATCCAGGGAGCATTAGGGGCGATTCTCCTTTCCCTAGAGCAAAATGAGTAATGTAACTCTTAGGAAACACTATTGCCATTTACTATCATTTATGTAGATAAGATAGTTTTCACTTTTTAGTTAAACTTGTACCTACAAACTTCAAAGAGGCCAAGCGGAGTTCAAGTATGCAAGTGTTACCCTTTGGATCCTGACATATAAATGTATATCATTTGTGTTCTCTTTTTATTCCCTCATCCTAATCATACACATGTGACAACAGATATGCCTACAAATAATTTAGAAATGATAAAAAAAAATAACAGCCAAGAGTAATCAATAACTGACAGATGTCACAAAGCACAATAAAGTCCAAAAACACAGAGGGAGCCCTGGCTGGTGCGGCTCAGTAGTTGGAGCATCATCCTGTCCACCAAAAGGTTCCAGGTTCGATCCCCGGTTGGGGCATGTGCAGGAGGCAACCGAACCGATGGCTGTTTCTCTCTCTCCCTCTCCACCCCCAACCCTCCCTAAAATCAATTTTTAAAATAATAAAAAAAAGTGAAAGAAAAAAATCAAATGGGAGGGAAAACTGGAAGTAGGAGGTCGATATCTCAATGTACTAGAGCAGAGAGTTTACTATTAACTTGGTAACTTACTGCAGATCGATCCAGGAAGAATTGATGAAACTCAAGGAAGATACGACGCGTCTCCTTGGAATTGGTTTGTTTATAAAGGTCTGAATAGAGATAACAGAGCTGTAGTAAAGAAGAAAGGAAAAAGAAAAGTGAGAAATCTTGGAAAATATAATCTGTTATATTCTCAGAGAGTATGAATGTTTGGAACAGGCAAGTCACCATAAGCAATGTACTAGAACAAAGGAAACAGTAATAGTTAACACATCCAACAAAGTGCTTAAAAAAATAAATTAATAACATTTTAAGTATCTTTCATGTCTATCCTTATATGTTTAGAAAACTGAAAAAAAGTCTGTCCACTTAGTTCACAGAAGTGAAAAGTTTTATGGTTTATTAATTAATGTAAAAACTTTGAATTTGCTAAATCGTAAAATATATTACCAATGTTGCAGGGTCAAACTGTGAAACTACATGGTGTAAAAACACAGCCAAGTGAGCAGGGCGTGATTTCAGCAGTTCGATGCTCTGGAAGCAGCTGCACTGCCCATTGATCTAGAAAAAGAAACAATTACACATCAGTGACTCCAACACAAATGCAAATGTCACGTGAGCTCAACTAAACATTAACTATCAAAATCCACTTAGATCTACCGTAAAAAATTCAAGATTTGAGAAATTTCACTAGAATTTATTAGCAACATAGGCTATGGAATCTTTTCCTCTGAAATGAGTATTTCAGGGGAGAGGCTGGGAGTAAGATCATCTTGGGAGAATGCAAGTTTAGAAGATGATTATCAAGGAGCTGAGGCATCTATAAATCAGTACACAACTATCTAACAGCACTTCTGCAAATGTCATGGAAAACTCTCTGCCTAATAAAGAACTAGCTGTTTTCCTTTTGCACTAATCACAGAAATGGTGGTAGAAAATGGAGTTGTATCATTTTAAGTAACACCAGCCTATAATAAATGTGTATATTCCCTACCACACAGAACACAGTAATCGTTAAAATTAAGGTAACTTAAATAATAACTTTCATATAATTTTTCACATGTAAAATAAATTACAGTGAGACTAAAGTTAATCTAAGGAACAATACCAATCCCACACAATCTCTCTCAGAAAATATAAGAGGAGGCCGGTGCCATTGTGGGGCTCAGCCCACCTGCTTTTCCAGATGACCTAATCCTATCTAATAATAGACAAATAGGGTAATTAACTGTAATTCCAATACGCTTCCCATTGGCTAATCAGGGCAATATGCAAATTAACTGCCAACCAAGATGGTGGCTGGCAGCCACGCAGCTGAAACGAACAGGAGGCTTGCTTGCTCCAGTGATGGAGGAACCCAAAGTTCCCCGCCTGCCGCTGCCCAGCTCTGAGCCTGAAAGCAACAGCTCCGAAAGCAACTATGTTTCAATTACAGAAGCTAAACAAACCCCCGATACCTGCTTTCAGCAGCCGAGGCCTCAAGCTGGAGCCGTGCCTCAGAGCTGGAGCTGGCTCTCAGCCATAGAAGGTAAATAAATCCCAGAATAAAAAAAAAAGAAAAAAAGGAGAGGTTGGGAGCTTCAGTTGCTGGCCAGTCTGAAAACGGCCCTCAGCCCCTCACCCAGGCTGGCCAGGCACCCCAGTGGGGACCCCCACCCTGAAGGCGGTGTGACCAGCTGCAAACAGCCATCAGCCCCTCACCCAGTCCAGGCACCCAAGCGGGACCCCCACCCTGATCCAGGACACCCTTCAGGGCAAACCAGCTGGCCCCCACCCGTGCACCAGGACTCTATCCTATATAGTAAAAGGGTAATATGCAAACTGACCCTAACAGCAGAAAGACTGGGAATGACTGGTCACTATGACACACACTGACCACCAGGGGGCAGACGTTCAATGCAGGAGCTGCCCTCTGGTGGTCAGTGCACTCCCACATGGGGGAGCTCTGCTCAGCCAAAAGCCAGGCTGATGGCTGCCAGTACAGTGGTGGTGGTGGGAGCCTCTCCTGTCTCCTCAGCAGCACTAAGGATGTCCGACTGCAGTTTAGGACTGCTCCCCACTGGCAACTGGACATCCCCTGAGGGGTCCCAGACTGCGAGAGGGCACAGGCCGGGCTGAGGGACCGTCCCCCCGCCCCCCGGTGCACAAAAATTTGTGCACTGGGCTTCTAGTAAATTCATAATTGTTATTAAAAAAGAAAGAAAATATCAGAGGACGTAACACTTGCTGCCTGTTGCACGCACCCGACTGGGGATTGAGCCTGCAGCCTGGGCATGTGCCGTGACATGGAATCAAACCCTGACCTCCTGGTACATACATAGGTCACGCTCAACTTCTGAGCCACACAGGCTGGGCTGAGGTAGCACTTCTTACTCATCCTAGGTGGCCAGCAATACCCAACTACAACAACCAAACAAATTACAAAAACAACAGCAACAAAACCCCCAAACTACACAATAATATCCCCCTAAACACAGACACAGAAATCCTCAGCAAAATCATAGCAAGTTGGATCCTGCTGTATCTAAAAAGGAGAACACATTACGACCAATCAGGATTTATCCTGGAACATAGAGCTGGCTCAACATGCTAATAGCAATCCATGTTAGGAGACTCATATAATCACCTCACTCATTCCATAATATTCCATATCCATTCATGATAAAAACTCTCAGCAGACTAGGAGTAGAAGGAAACTTCCTTCACCGGTAATAAAAAGCGTTTGCGGAAAACCTACGCTAACTTTACTATATTTTATGGTGAAAGACTCATCTTTCTTCCTGAGATCAGTAATAAAACGAAGAAGTACTGCCTCACCATCCAGTTCAGCCGCATTGCTGGAGGTCTTAATTAGCACAGTGAAGGTAATAACAAGAAATACAAGATAAACGGGTTGGAAACAAAACAATAAAAATTGTCTCTATTCACAGACACCATGGTTGCCTATAAAGAAAATCACAAATTTTTTGTTTGCTGTTAACCCTCCCCAGAGGATATTTTTTCCATTGCTTTTTTAAAGGGAGTGGAAGGGAGGTGGGGGAGAAAGAGAGAAACACTGATGTGAGAGACACATTAGTTGGTTGCCTCCCACATGCGCCCTGGGGTGCAAGATCAAACCTGCAACACAGGTACCTGCCCCTGACCAGGACTTGAAGCCACTATCATTTGGTTTGTGGGCTGATGCTCTACCCACTGACCCACATCGGCTGGGCGCCAATAAAGCTATTTTAAAAAGCTCCCTGAAGCCCTAACCGGTTTGGCTCAGTGGATGGAGTGTCGGCCTGCGGACTCAAGGGTCCCAGGTTCAATTCCAGTCAAGGGCATGTATCTTGGTTGTGGGCACATCCCCAGTGGGGGGTATGTAGGAGGCCGCTGATCGATGTTTCTCTCTCATCGATGTTTCTAACTCTCTATCTCCCTTCCTCTCTGTAAAAAAAATCAATAAAATATAAAAAAAAGTCCTTCTTTAAAAAAAATAAATAAATAAAAAATAAATAAAAATAAAAAGTTCCTTGAAGTACCAAGCCAATCATATTCCTATATACCATCAATAAACAACTGGAATTTGAAATAAAAAGAAAAATAACCTTTACAATAACACCTCCCCCTCCTAAAATGAAGTACTTAGGTCTAATCAGTGACTTCTTATCAATTTTAAAAGCAAAGTCATTCCTATTGATTAAAGCTAAAATAAGCAACTAACCCACTAATTAACCAGTTAATTTTAATGTCCAGAAATTTTTCATTTTTACAATAATCAAATATCTCGGAATATTAGTGTTTTTTTTAGAAAAATATATCATCACCTGTTCATGTTCAGTACCAAAATCATCATCCTCTGCTCCAATGATGTGAGGTGCTGTGCGGGCTGCGGGGCTCCCAATAAGGGACTGAGTGTCCTGGTGATATTCAGAGAAAAGAAACAGAAAAATTACCTGTCATCAAATTCAGAGAAAGAATAAAGCCAAACCATCAAAGAAATGTCGTTTACCAAACAGGTGTGACTTCTTTTTATTTCTTTTCTTTATGTACTTTACTCTGAAAGAAGTGGTTCTCAAATTTTCAAGGCCATGAACCACAGCAACAAACAAACTACAACAGTATTTGGTGGGGGGAGGGGGCACAGTTCTCCTGGAAATAAACATTCTTTGCTCACTATACCCCTGGTTATCTGATTCTAATCACTCTCAGGATACTTCATTTATTACTTCATACATTTCTAGACCTTACAGAAAAAATAAAATTAGCTTATATACGTTGTTAAATATTAAAAAATTATACTTTAAAATGTGAGTGAAGACATCAGGGCAAAGGAAAAATGAGAGTAGAAATGATAAGACAAAATTTGCAGAGGTTAATACAAAGATTTCTATTAATGTCACTTATTGAAAACTGTTGCTAATTATTTTTCCTAAGTGCATATTGCAGGGCTTCCAGCCCTGCACTGTTGATATTTTGGGACAGGTAATGCTTTGCTGTGCATTGTAAGGTGTTTAACAGCATCCTTCCCTCTACACACCTACTAGATGCCAGTAATAGCCTCCCAGCCACGAGAATCAAAAATGTTCCCAGATATTACCAAGTATCCCAGGGATAAAATCACTCTGGCTGAAAATCACAGGTACATGCAAAATTAAAATTTAAAGCAATCCCATAAAACACTGCTACAGAAACAAAAACGACAAAATTACAAAAATACAGATCTTACTCCATGAAATAGAACATCCATTTGTCAATTCATTGTGTAAAATTCAGCATGAAATAGGCAGTGTAGAGGCATCTATATATAAAAAAGCTCAGTGACCATTACGGCGGAATGACCAGAATGACCAGTCGCTATGATGTGCACTGACCACCAGGGGGCAGATGCTCAATGCAGGAGCTGCCTCCTGGTGGTCAGTGCACGCCCACAGCAGGAGCGCCACTCAGCCAGAAGCCTGGCTCATGGCTGGCGAGCGCAGCAGTGGTGGCGGGAGCCTCTCTTGCCTCCGAGGCAGTGCCAAGGATGGTGAGCCAAGCGGTAAGGAGTGAGCAGGTGGGAGGTTAGGAGCGAGCAGGTGGAGGTTAGGAGTGAACAGGTGGGATGTTAGGAGTGAGCAGGTGGGAGGTTTAGGAGCGAGCAGGTGGGAGGTTAGGAGCGAGCAGGTGGAGGTTAGGAGTGAACAGGTGGGATGTTAGGAGCGAGCAGGTGGAGGTTAGGAGTGAACAGGTGGGATGTTAGGAGTGAGCAGGTGGGAGGTTTAGGAGCAAGCAGGTGGGAGGTTAGGAGGGAGCAGGTGGGAGGTTAGGAGTGAACAGGTGGGATGTTAGGAGTGAGCAGGTGGGAGGTTAGGAGCGAGCAGGTGGGAGGTTAGGAGCGAGCAGGTGGGAGGTTAGGAGCGAGCAGGTGGAGGTTAGGAGCGAGCAGGTGGGAGGTTAGGAGCGAGCAGGTGGAGGTTAGGAGCGAGCAGGTGGGAGGTTAGGAGCGAGCAGGTGGGAGGTTAGGAGCGAGCAGGTGGGAGGTTTAGGAGCGAGCAGGTGGGAGGTTAGGAGCAAGCAGGTGGGAGGTTAGGAGCGAGCATGTGGGAGGTTTAGGAGCGAGCAGGTGGGAGGTTAGGAGCGAGCAGGTGCGCAGTTAGAAGCAAGAGGTCCCGGATTGCAAGAGAGATGTCCCCGGATGGGTCCTGGATTACAAGGGGGCGCAGGCAGGGCTGAGGGACACCTCCCTCCCGTGCACGAATTTTGTGCATTAGGCCTCTTGTGAATGTATAATGTAAAAAATATGGGATGTTTAAAGACCACAAATATTAAATCAAAGACCCCAGAGTATGAAGAAAAGTAAAACTTTTGGAAGAAATAGAAAAGAATGAAGTTGGCTTAAATCTGACAGCCACTGAGCCAAGAGAGTGGGGCTATAAAGCTTGGAAGCCATCTGTGAAGCAGTCATAACTGAAACAAGCTCAAATTAAGTAAATGACATGTCCCTAGTTTCTCCTCCCTAAGTGTTTCCCCAACACTATGTATTTGCATCTGCTAAACTGGAGCAGCTCAACGCGAACGTCACTCAGGGTGACGGGAGAGTGCGCCCGGAGCGACCCAGGGCAGCCTGCCCCGCTCCTCACTGAGGCGGGGAGGGGAGCACTGGAGCAAACCAGTGCCCATCTCGCTATGGCCTACCAGAAAGCGAGGACTGTGCAAACCAGAGCAACCTGCGCCCACTCCACCCTCAGCCCAGGGTCCTGCTGCTGGGGCAACATGGAGTAACCCGGCGCTTGCCCCACTCAGGTCACAGGGGGCTCTGACTGCGACCCAGAGCAACCCACACCCGCTTCTCCCCGGCCCCTGAGACAGTCCTGCGGGGGCGACCTGGAGCGGGTGTCCCCAGCCAGAGGCCACAGAACTGCGCTGCAAGTGCCCTGGCAGAGGGGCCTAGGGTGCCACCCTGCCACAGGTGCCAGGGCCGCTCAGCCAATTACATGCCAGAGAGCTCTGGACCCTCACAGGGAGTCGCACATCACAGGAACTCCGCACACGCTCCCAGCGCCCTGAACATCTTAGCAGACACTGAGGGAGCAGGTCCGTAGGAGAAGGGGATACCACTCAGAGCAGAGACAATAAAGGCGTGAGACACCAGCAGACCCTGCCTCTGGGCTAACAAGTCCCAGACCATTGCCCTGAGGGTTGTCACCCTCTCAAACCCCAAGAGGGTGCCCAGGGCCAGAAAGAGAAAGCAAAAATGGGGAGACAGCCCTAATCGGTTTGGCTCAGTGGATAGAGCATCGGCCTGCAGAATGAAGGGTCCCAGATTCGATTCCAGTCAAGGGCATGTACCTTGGTTGCAGGCACATCCCCAGTAGGGGGTGTGCAGGAGGCAGCTGATCGATGTTTCTCTCTCATCGATGTTTCTAACTTTCTATCCCTCTCCATTCCTCTCTGTAAAAAATCAATAAAATATACATTTTTTAAAAAATGGGGAGACAAAGACACAACTCCCCAAGAAAAGAAAAGGAGGAATGCTGTGGGGAAGCACGGGGCTTGGTTGGAATGTCTGTGAGGAGGGTGCTCCAAAAGGTCGGGGGCCGCTGGGGGCGGGGGGCGGGGGCCACGACCTTGCTGAAGGCACGGTCCCTGCCTCGACTTTTCCAAACAAGTCCGAGCCCGGGGTGTTTTGCTAGAATCTCTATGTTTGGTCTTTAAAGGCCCCCCTTGTGGAAACACATACTTTCTCAAGGCTACGTGCCCTGCTAACTGTGTCTAGGGCTCAATTTTAGTTCTCGCTGTAACGACAATGAAAGCCAAAGGAGGCAGGTGAGCAGGGCTCCTGGGCAGTGATAGTCGAGGAGTGCCTTAGCCTCTTTCACAAAAACTGGGCTCGAGCAATCTGTTCTGTCGCTCAGGGTCAGAGCGTCAGCCCTGGCAAAGTGGTGCCCTGTGTGAGTACCAAGGAATGCAACGAAGAAAACCAAAGAGTAAGAAAATGAAAGTAACTGCAGGAAGTCATTGGAGCCGCTTGGGATTTCCAAGTTCGAGGGAGTTGTTTCTCAGCTAAGGAATTCACTATCTCTGTTATGCTTCTTAAGAATGTAAGTTTTCCATTAGAAAAATAAGCCTATTTCTGAAAGTAAGGAAAAAAAGTTTTTTCTGTATTTGCCTAGGAAAGCAAAGGTTTATTAATCAGGAAATTGATTACTTTAAATGAACAGATTACTTAATACTCTTTAATAATAATAATATATATTGAGTGAGAAAGATGGTGGCCGGCAAGAAGGCAGGGAGGGAGAGTGTGAGAGTGAGGGCGCGATAGAGGAGTGTGTGGACGTGTGTGAGTGAAATAGGGACAATTAGATCCTACAGGTCTGCCAAGGGGCTGCCAAAACAGGCAGTCTTAGATGGCAAAACCCTGCTGCCACCGCAAACACTCTGGGGGCGGCCAGGACGGGCACAGAGACCACGCCATCTTGAAGAACAGAACTGCTTGAGACTAGGATCCTAACCTCGCCACTACCCAACCTGGTCTCAGATGCAAACCGGGACCCTACAGCCACTAGGGTAAAATGCCTGCGACCACAGCTGGAGACCCACAGACACTAAGACCCCAGACGCCCAGGCCGCAGGTTTCTGTGAGTCACAGAGCCATTCCCCCTCCCCAGGCAGAGAAGCATCAAACAGACTGTCAAACTACAGCAGGAACGCTGGGAGGGTTCGGGGCAGGGTGGGGTGGGGGGGTGGGTGGTGGTGGTGGTGGTGGTGGTGGTAAGAGATCAACCGAAGGACTTGTATGCATGCACATAAGCATAACCAATGGACGCAAGACACTGGGGGGAGGGTAGGGAGGGCATGTGCCAGGGGGTTTGTGGGGGGATAGGGAAGGCCAGGGGAAAGGCAATGAGGGAGAAAAGGAGACATATATACTACTATTTGTAATACTTTAAACAATAAAATAAAATTTAAAAATAAATACATAAATAATCCCCTCCTCCAAAAAAAAAATAGTAATAATAATATATAATGTACTTGACTACATTCCCAGGGTTTAAATTTTAAGATTTGCTTTCTCTCCTTATGAAGAAAAATTTTATGCTTAAGGTATATGGGAAGCTCTGTCAAATAAGGAAATGACATTTGTATTTTATTTATATATACATATTTAATAGATCCTAATATGCTTTCATTTATAACTAAGTGTTATAAGTTATAATATTGTGGAATACTGTGTTTTGCAAAAAGGACAAGCTTCCAAAGTAACTAAATTTATAGAAATACTAGCAAGAAAAATCAGGATAAAAAGAATTTGATTATAGGACTAAATGAACTAAAAATAATTATAGTTTTAGTAATTATGTTCTAATAGAAATATATTTGTTTGTATGAATCCAATAAAAATCTAATTTCTTCAAAACAGGACATAAATCAGTTTCCAATTGTGGTTTTATTGACCAAAACTTTGCTGGAATGTCATGTCTGAGAGAGACAGGCCAGGACTGTGGGTGTCACCAGAAGCTCTGAGGAATGAAGACTGACTTTGAAGCTGATAAGCCCCTTGGAAAAACAGCCTGGTCCTTGCTTGGTCACATGGCTCAAGGCAGCTTTTCCAGGGAAGGAACGAAGGTTGCTTTCCTGAGAGATGGCATGAAAGACATCTCAAGACACCTGTGGGGACCTCAACTTGAGGAGTGCACCCCAACTCTGTAGGTACTGCAGGCGAAGCCTGATGGCAACTGCATGGCTTGGCTTCTTTGCCCTGGGGGAAGCTTTCTCATGAGATTCCAGCAAAGCATTTTTTTTTAAAAAACCTGTGTAATCAACTGTTATTCTTGTTATGTTCATGCAAACAATCAGGCCAAATTATAACTACACTTAATACAGTAAGTAAATTAGCCTTTAATAAAAATAAGGATGATTTTAGGGAGAAAAAAATGTTTCAACAGGAAATTATTAGAAACTGTTCTAACTTTTGTCCAATTAATACTAAATTTTATAACTCAGTTTGTCTCCACCAGATTACAAGCCCTACTTGCACCTAGGGAATACCACCTCTAGGCACCACTGCCACCTCCTTCTGTGCCCAGGCCTCATCGTCCCTCTGACAGAGAGCAAGGATCTCTTGGCTCTGAGAGAAACCTCTGACCCACCTCAGCAGGAAGCAGCTACAGAAGAAACCGGCGTCCCCTTTCCCTGAAAGAACTCAGAGCCAAGATCCTTGAGGGGGATGTAGTAGGCAGTTAGACAGACATGGCAGAGCAAGGACGATGGGCCAACTGGAGGGTAAAGAGATAGACGCTGAGACTTCTCACCACTCCAACTGCTCTGAAGCTGGGAACAGAGGAACCTGTATAAAACTACCTTTAATCATAACTAATAATTAGAAGGAATTTATAGTTTTTGTATAATAGAAGGTATAAAGATCAAGAAAAAAGAAAGTAAAGTAGATAAACTGAAAGGGTATGTGTAAGTTACAGAAGATATATATAAGTTACAGAAGGTATATATAAGTTATAAAATGTACATGTAAATTTTAAAAGGTATGTATAAGTTACTGAGGGTCTGTACAAGTAAAGAAGAACTAAAGTTGAGGAAGTAAAATTGTGAGAAGAGATGTAAAGAAAGGAATATAACAGGAAGAGAGGAAATTAGAGTAATACTTAAGAATAACTGTGAAAGTTATAAGAATGTTTAAAAAGGTCATAAAAGGTTTATAAAGAGAAATCTTAAAAGGAATTATAAGTATACTAAATAATAAATCTAATAAATAGAGCACCTAAGTTAATCGGAAAAGTAATCATATTATTTTAAATCTTAGAACACATATCCTTATATGTGAATAGGGGGGTTACATTTTTTCCTAAAGTTTTCTTTTCAAGGCCTGTTTGAAGTAGAGAGGTAATTCAGCTATGAATCCAGCAAACAGAACCGATAAGCATGGTCAGACTGACCCCCAGAAGTCAACATCATCTCATCACCTGACAAGCTCTGTCTACAGACCACAGGCCTGCAAGTAGCTACATTCCGCACCCTTGCCCCTTCTCCTTTATAATCCTGTCCCCTACACCTCACTAGAAGGCAAAATTTAATGCTTGTAAGCACCCTGTCTTCTTAATTAGATTAACCATTGCTGTCATTGCAATTCTCTGTTTTTCTTATAGTCTACAAAATCAGAAATTGACCTAGAAAAAAATCTCCAGAAGTTCATATGGAATAAAAAAAGACTCCGAGTAGCCACAGCAATCTGGAGAAAGAAGAACAAATTGGAGGGATCACAATACCAAATATCAAGCTATAATATACAGCCACTGTTCTCACAACTGTCTGGTCCTGGCATAAGGAACAGACATACAGACCAATGGAACAGAACAGAGAACCCAGACACAAACGATTATGCTCAATTAATATCTGACAAAGGAGACAAGAGCATACAATGGAGTCAAGACAGTCTCTTCAATAAATGGTGCTGGGAAAATTGGACAGACACATGCAAAAAAATGGAACTAGATCACCAACTAACACCATACACAAATATAAACTCAAAATGGATAAAGGACTTGAATGTTAAGATGGGAAACCATAAAAATCTTAGAAGAATCCATAGGCAGCAAAATATCAGACATATGTCGGAGAAATAGAAACTAAGGAGAAAATACACAAATGGGACTACATCGAAATAAAACGCGTCTGCACAGCAAAAAGAAACATCAACGAAACAACATGAAAGCCCACTGCATAGGAGAACATATTTGCTAATGTTATCACCGATAAAAATTTAATCTCCAACATTTACAGGGAACTCATACAACTTAACAAAAGGAAGATAAACAATCCAATCAAAAAATGGGCAAATGACCTAAATAGACACTTTTCAAAAGAGGACATTCAGAAAGCCAAGAGACATATGAAGACATGCTCAAAGTCACTAATCATCCGAGAGATGCAAATCAAAACAACAATGAGGTACCATCTCACACCTGTCAGAATGGCTATCATCAACAAATCAACAAATGACAAGTGCTGGAGAGGATGTGGAGAAAAAAGGAACCCTCGTGCACTGCTGGTGGGAATGCAGACTGGTGCAGCCACTGTGGAGAACAGTATGGAGTTTCCTCATAAAATTAAAAATGGAACTCCCATTTGACCCAGTGATCCCACTTCTGGGAATATATCCCAAGAAAGCAGAAACACCAATCAGAAAGGACATATACACCCCTATGTTCATAGCAGCACAGTTTACCATAGCTAAGATTTGGAAACAGCCTAAGTGCCCATCAGCAGATGAATGGATTAAAAACTGTGGTACATCTACACAATGGAATACTACGCTCCTGTAAAATGAAGGAACTCCTACCATTTGCAACAGCATGATGGAACTGGAGAGCATTATGCTAAGTGAAATAAGCCAGTCAGTGAAAGATAAATATCACATGATCTCACTCATATGTGGGATATAATGATCAACATAAACTGATGAACAAAAACAGATCCAGAGACAGAGAAGCATCGAACAGAAAGCTCAGAAGGAAGACAGGTGGGGGACAAAGGGGACGGGGGTGCAGAGATCAACCAAAGGACTTATATGCATGACCAGTGGATACGGACAGTAAGGGGCGAGGGCACGTGCTGGGGGTGGGAGTGGTAGGGGAGAGGTCAGTGGGGGAAAAGAAGACATATGTAATACTATAATAATACTTTAAACAATAAAGAATTAAAGAAATAAAAGACCTGAAAGAACTTGAATAGTATGTGTGCAGCCATGATCAGAGGAGCATTATTCTCAACAGCCAGGAGATAGAAACCGCCCAAGTGCTCACTGACAAATGGATAAACAAAATGGGTTCATACAGACAATGGATTATTATTCAGCCTTAACAGGACAAACATTCTGACACTGGCTGCAACAGAGGTGAGTCGTGAAGACACTATGCTGAGCAAGACAGGCTGGTCAACACAAGGACAATTACTGTGGGATCCCACTGCCCTGGGTTCTCGGGGAGTCATATTCCCAGAGGCAGAAAGAGAAGGGGGGTTGTCAGAGGCCGGAGGGAGAGGGTGATTTCGAGTTAGTGTGCAAGTCTCAGCTGCGGGAAGATGAAAGTTCTGAGACGAATGCTGTGATACTGCACAACATGAAAGGAACTTGATGCCAATGAGCTGTACACTTAAAAAGAATCACTGGTAAATTTTATGTTATGTATATTTTACTACAATAAAAAATCATTAAATCACCTAATAACATTGACTGTGAAGTACCTCTCCATTTATAAAAAAAAATTATTAAGTTGTTTTAAAATTTAAGCTTTCTCTCAAAAAAACAAAAAACAAACAAAACACAAACAAACACAAAAAACCAAAAACCAAAAAAAAACAACAAAAAACAAATAGCAGACACGGCTGTCACTTTAAGCATTTAAAAGCACTACATTTCACAGGTTTTATACTCACAGTGTCCTGAATTACATCATTTTTCTCCAGGTTTTCCTCTAGATAAACCCCCTCTTTCAGGCCGCTCTTAGGACTCTAATTAAAAAGAAAAAGAAGAAAGGTATTTAGTTCATTTCAACAGGCTCACTAAAGGAGAGTAAAAAAAAATAATGTGGAAAAAGAATCTTCTGAATTTCATTTATGTATTTGAAACTACTAAATATCTTTTATATAATATCTGGCTTTGCTATTTTTTTCCTGAATTTAGCAAATCACTTATTCTCTCAGCTTTTTAGTTTTATATTGATGCCATTAAAACAATACAGAACTATCTGGCCAGTGTTGGTCAGTGGTTATAACATCAACCCGTGCACCAAAATGTCGCGGGTTCAATTCCCAGTCAAGGGCACATGCCTGGGTCACAGGTTCCATTCCTGGCCAGGTCTCACATTTATGTTTCTCTCCCCTACTTCCTTCTTTTCCACTCTCTCGAAAAATCAATGGAAAAAATATCCTTCGGTGAGGATTAACAACAACAACAGAATTACAAACAATGGAAAAGTTTTACTTTAACTCTGGGCCTGAGGGCACATTTCTACCAAATAAGTGTAACTAGATATATTACGTATCTCAAACTCATTATGTCAAAATCAATCTCTATCGTTACCCATCTCCTCTAATCCCCTCTGTCCCAAGATAAAAGCATTTTGGATTATTTATATGAATGAAATTAGCTTCTATTTTGCTGTTACTATCTTGTGTAAAACGGATGTATAGATTTTCATAAAATTTACATGGTATGTTTGCAATGACCTAATATAAACACAAATTCTCTGACATGCAGGATTTCAATTTAGGAGGGTGAGGAATACCCCAAAGCAATGGAGCCACTCTTCAGAGCGGCTGAAATGAGGCACAGAGATTTTGTGTGAATGCCAATAGGGACAATACATGCTCTCTATAGACACCAAATACCACGCGACAGAGAGACAGTAAAGCTGCCAGACCTACTGGGAGTCATGTCACAAGAATACAGAAGACAATTTGAGGAGACTCCATGGGCCAAAAAAAGAACAATTTAAGCATCAAAAAGAATAATGATTGCAATGGACCGAAACACACTAAGCAAGTATGGTAAAGTCTGTGGGAAACTGCCTATTGTCTTCTCTAGCAGAGAGGTGTGGACAAGGAGCCCAGAATGCTGGTGACCCTTGAGTCCTGGCAAAGGTCAGGGCAATGCATCCACTGTTAGTCCAGACAATGGTAACTGAAGCAACTTCTCCACCAGATATATTATTATTTCTTGTCTCATCTCTTTCATTTGCGTGCGGCCCCTCTTCCAGAGCCCGAACCCTGAACCACGCGGGACGTGGGGGGACAGTCACAAAAATCTATCAATTCAAAATATACACACGAGTGAATGTACACACATCCCTACATTGGGGACCTCTGGAGTTTGTTAGGTAACAACTCTTCTGAAAACAGATTCATAAAAGAAAAGAATCAAGCATTTATACCACCCTTCCTGCATAAGCTATATTTTAGGGTAATCTAAAAACCAGTAAGGGAAAACTATTCTTCATACAATAATTCCATATAATCTAATCCAATAATAGACAAACATGGTAATTGACAATACCTCCACTATGCTTCCCAATGGCTAATCAGCAGGATACGCAAATTAACTGCCAACAAAGATGGCGGCTGGCAGCCACGCAGCTGAAGCGAGCAGGAAGCTTGCTTGCTCCAGTGATGGAGGAAGCCAAGGCTCCCCGCCTGCCGCAGCCCGGCTCTGAGCTCCACTCTAAGCAACAAAGTTGCAATTATAGAGGCTAAACAACCCCAGATACCTGCTTTCAGCAGGCCGTGGCCTCGGAGCTGGAGCGGCAACAAAGTTTCAATTATAGAAGGTAAATAAATCCCAGAATTTAAAAAAAAAAAGGAAAAAAGTTAGAGGTTGGGAGCTTCCGTTGCCAGCTTGGCCAGCCTGAAAATAGCCATCAGCCCCTCATCCAGGCTGGCCAGGCACCCCAGTGGGGAACTCCACCCTGAAGGCGGTGTGACCAGTTGCAAACAGCCATCAGCCCTTCACCTGCCGGAAGCCGGTCCATCCTTGCTGCTTGACACAGTCGCTGCAGGAAAGAAACATCTGCACAGCATATGTTTCAAGGGACCTGGCGTATATAGCATACTGTTCTTAATATGTTTGCTCCCCTTAGCGCTGTGTGTTTTAACCAAGGTCACCTCTCCAAGAAAGGTTGTTTCCCCAGGTAGGGATTTTTCCCTGAAGTCAGGGAGGGGATAAAACTCCTTAACTAAGTGCCAGGAGGGTAGTTAATCACTTTAACTATAAACAATCACGCTTAAGCTACATAATCTTTACTCCCTGGAATGGAGATAAGAAACGCCCTAACCTTTGTAATAGAGATTGATAGGATTGAATCAACTGGTATAAATACAGATGTAATAAGACAGCAAGACACAGAACTAAGAAGACAGAACCAGGAGGCACAGAACCTCCACAGAACGTTCTCTAGAGACAGAAGAACTTCGCTGGAGAGAACATGGCAAAAGATCCTGGACAGAAACTGGCCTCAGAACCTAGAGACAGAATGTAGCGAGAGAACATGGCAAAAGATCCTGGATTGAACCTGACTACAGAAATTGGCAAGAGAACCTGATTAGAACCTGGTGATTGAACCTGGCTGGAGAACCTGGACAGAACCTGGCTGGAGAACCTAGCGAGGGAACATGGCTACAGAACCTGGCTGGAGATCCTAGACAGAACTTGGCTAGAGAACCTCGCTATGATGATCATCTGAATGCCCTCTCCGTGTCATTCCTTCTTCGCTGACTCCGTCCACACCTTTGGGGACCCCTGGACCTGCTGGGGTTGGACCCCAGCATTCACCCAGGCTGGCCAGGCACCCAAGCGGAACTCCCACCCTGATCAGGGACACCCTTCAGGGCAAACCAGCAGGCCCCCACGTGTACACCAGACCTCTATCCTATATAGTAAAAGGGTAATATGCAAACTGACCTTAACAGCAGAAAGACTGGGAATGACTGGGCACTATGACACACACTGACCACCACGGGGCAGACGCTCAATGCAGGAGCTGCCCTCTGGTGGTCAGTGAGCTCCCACATGGGGGAGCTCTGCTCAGCCACAAGCCAGGCTGATGGCTGCCAGTACAGCGGTGGTGGTGGGAAACTCTCCTGCCTCCTCAGCACCGCTAAGGATGTCCGACTGCAGCTTAGGTCTGCTCCCCGCTGGCAAGTGGACATCCCCCGAGGGCTGCCGGGCTGCCAGAGGGATGTCTTATTGCCATCTTAGGCCCAATCCCCGGGGGAGCAGGCCTAAGCCAGCAAGTGGTCATCCTCTGAGGGCACAGGCCGGGCTGAGGGAACACCCCCCCCCGAGTGCACAAATTTTTGCGCACCGGGCCTCTAGTCCTACCTAATAAAAGAGAAACATGGTAATTAGCCGTACCTCCGCTACCCTTCCCATTGGCTAATCAGGGCGATATGCAAATTGACTGCCAGCCAAGGTGGCGGACGGCAGCCAGGCAGCTTGAAACTAACATGAGGCTTGCTTGCTTCAGTGACGGAGGACTCCAACGTTCCCTGCCTGCTGCTGCCGGCCTCTGAGCTTGCAGTTTGAAACATTGTTACAAATATAGAATCTAAACAAACTCCAGAAACCTGCTTTCAGCCAGCCTGGATCTCAGAGCTGGAGTTGAAACAGTGTTTCGATTACAGAACCCAAACAAACCAGATACCTGCTTTCAGCAGCTAAGGCCTCAGAGCTGGAGCTAAGCCTCAGAGCTAAAGCGGGCCCAGAATAAAAAAAAAAGAAAAAAAGGAGCGGTTGGGAGCTTCAGTCACTCGCCAGCCTGAAAACAGCCCTCAGCCCCTCACCCAGGCTGGCCAGGCACCCAAGCGGGACCCCCACCCTGATCCAGGACACCCTTCAGGGCAAACCAGCCGGCCCGCAACCGTGCACCAGGCCTCTACCCTATATAGTAAAAGGGTAATATGCCTCCCAGCACCAGGATCAGCGGAGCCGCGAGGCCTCCTGGCACCGGGATCAGCGTGACAGGGGGCAGCGCCCAAACCCCCTGATCGCCCTGTGGCTCTGTGTGTGACAGGGGGCGGGGCCACAACCTCCCTATCCGCCCTGCTCTGTTCGTGACAGGGTGCAGTGCCCCAACCCCCTGATCGGCCCTGCTCTGTGTGTGACAGGGTGCGGTGCCCCAACACCCCCGCCCCCCACGGGCCATGCTCTGTATGTGACAGGGTAGAGCTATAACCTCCCCACTGGCCCTGCCCTGAGTGTGACAGTGGCGGTGCCCCAACCCCCTGTTCGGCCCTGCTCTGTGGGTGATAGAGGGCGGCGCCCCAACCGCCCCCCACGGGCCCTGCTCTGTGTGTGACGGGGTAGAGCCATAACCTCCCTATCGGCCCTGCCCTGAGTGTGACAGGGTGCGGCGCCCCAACCCCCTGATCCGCCCTGCTCTGCGTGTGATAGGGGGCAGTGCCCCAACTCCCCTATCGGCCCTGCTCTGTGCGTGACAGGGTACGGAGCCCCAACCTCCCTGATGGGCCCTGCTCTGTGAGTGACAGGGGGCAGCGCCCCAACCCCCTGATTGACCCTGCTCTGTGCGTGACAGGGTGGCGCCGCAACCTCCCCATCGACCCTGCCTTGAGTGTGACAGGGGACGGTGCCCCAACCCCCCAATCGGCCCTACCCTGAGCGTGACTGAGGGTGGCATCACAACCTCCCAATCCGCCCTACTCTGTACATGACAGGGGGCGGCGCCCCAACTCCCCAATCGGCCCTGCTCTGAGCCCGACCAGGGGCTGCACCTAGGGATTGGGCCTGCCCTCTGCCACCCGGGAGCAGGCCTAAGCCAGCAGGTCATTATCTCCTGAGGGGTCCCAGACTGCGAGAGGGCACCGGCTGGGCTTAGGGACCCTCGCTCCCCCCCCCCCCGAGTGCACAAATTTTTGTACACCGGGCCTCTAGTATCTATAATAAAAGAATATGCTAATTAGACCTGGTGTCCTTTCAGACGACCTTCTGGACGAAGCCA